TTTAGCACAAACCGCCGCAGCCCTCCACCCTTTTCTAAAAACACAGAAAATAATAAACCTTTTGAATGGAAACTTGAACACAATATAGCTTTCAATAACATTCTAACGATAGTTACAGAATTTACTCAAAATGAATATTTTGACCAAAACCATGTACTCGCGTGGTCTGCGATGCAACGACATCCTGACTAGGGGCCACATTGGAAAACATTCTCCTGAAGGAGTTTGGGTGGCCATAGACTAAGCGTCATGTTTCCTAAATTCTTAAGAACAAAAGTTCTCTGTTAACGAGCTAGAATTACTTGTGGTAATTTGGGCCATCAATCATTTTAAATATTAGCTATACGGCAAAAATTTTTACCATCATCACAGATCATCAAGCTTTAATCAGCGCATAAAATGCAAGCGAAAGAAGAAAAACCAGTCAAAGCAGGCTTACCCGATGGATTGACCGTCTAATTCCCTTTGACTTCGACATCAGGCACTTGGCTAGGAATAAAATGGGACTGGTAGACTATATGTCACGGAATCAAGTTGGATTAACAATACACCTAAGCGCGTACGACAAGGAACTTGTAGTAGTATCAATTATGTAATCCTAAACAATCTTCAGATGATTGGCAACATCATAGTGAGTAGCCTAGCCTATCAAAACAGAGCACCATATCAGCTAATCAAAAAATGCGCGGAAAATAAAAAAACGCTAACCAGCCTTTCAAAACCCTGATTGAAACTCAATCAATCCGCTCATTCCGCAAGTGGTCATTCTCAACCATTCGCATCAAATCAGTTCCGCACAAAACTATCTCGAACTCAGTCAAACACATATTGCAATAATACTCTAAAAAACATATCCACTTGATTCAAGATAATCGAAACCCAATGAGACGTCGAAAAGATTTCAAAGGGTTTAAAGGTGGTTATATCCCGGAAGACATAACCACGCTCGACTCAAGAAGCAGCAGCAAAACACAATGGTAAGGCGCATCAGATCGGGAGGCGAGCTCCCCCAACCCAGGTTGGCAGAAGCGAAAACATCCGCATACGAGAGCTGGACGAAATCAACAACAACAAAACCGCAATCAGCAACTACACCCCGCAAACAACAGGAGTCAAAAACTCGCGGGAGCTACCCACAGCTCAACCTAAGAAACAATCACTTTTTCCAAAGATAGTTTTCAGCGACAGTTCACCGGACACCACAACTCACTCGGCAGTAACAATTAAGAAAATCACAAACCAATCATAGGGTCAGAAGACTATATGACACTAAACTCCACACAAACCCAACTCTCCATCGAAGTTAACGAAACGTAGGAGTACTGCGTAAACCGCGTGGATTTAACACAATGCAGCCAAGAGGAACGCACACCAAATATCGATAGTAATATTGATAAAAAAAGATAAGAGACCATTCAGGGTCCCATAAATAATCTGTTTGGTCTGCTAATAGTGTTTCATTGTCTAAAGATTGTGGTCGAAGTTTTTTTCTTGCTGTTCAGATTAAATCTACGTTGTGTACAAAATAGTCTACTATGAACCATGCTAGGATTCTTTGTAGGTCAACTTTTACTACTTGTGAAATTTCATTATGGGTGAGTGCTTCACGAATTGATTTTAAAAATCCCGAGAAAAGGTTGGTTTCTTGTCTTTCAATTGCATGTCGAGATATGTGAGGTGGTGATACATATAATATTTCGTTTGATTCTAATATGGAAATGTAACTATAATAAAATTGAAAGAGAAAAAATCGTTCCTGAAAATTGAGTTTGCCCTTTGTGAATTTTGATGTTGAATATTCTTGATACATTCCTTTGAAAACTTTCGAAAATTCAAATATCATCTGTTTTTATTCGGTGTGGTGCTTGATGTGTTTGTGATTGTAACGTTTCAATAGTAAAAGTTCCGCAATATGCAGTGATATTACTGATGCCTGGTAGATAGTGGTCGAGTATTTGTCTTCTAATTTGTATGTCAGGGAATTCTTGTTTGCATAGGCTATTTCCGTTTTCAAACAAATTTGCAATTAAATTCTGACAAAATTGTACCTTTCCATAATGCGAATTTGCAATTAAATAGCGAATACTTGCCCTATAGCAAATTTGCAATTAAATTCTGACAAAGTTGTACTTGTCCTATAGGATGAATGACAAAAGAAAGAAGAGAATTATCATCACAGTTTTTGTCGTCTTGAATCATTTTTTGTGCTGTATTACGGTTAATGTTTAATTTTCAATATGTCGTTTTGTTTGATTCCAACTATAGAGTCGTACTGGTTTAGGAAGGTATGAATTTTTTATTCTGCGTTTACCTTTTTCAGATGATGGTGTTTTAGATTTTGATTCGGAAAAATATTTTTGGTCATTTTTCGCTTTATTTTTGTCGTCAATTAAATCTCGTAGATTTTGACGTTCTTGGATTGTAGTTGCATCAGATTCCGAAACTACCTTTTGTGTTCTGGAATTTTTTCGTTTAATATTTCGTTTTTGTTTTGTTATGATTGGCTTCTTTCTTGTTTTTTTTTTCGATCTGATATACTCTATTTTTGTCTATGTGGTGTAATTACAAGATCGCATTTTTCGTTTTGAATTAAACAATTGTGGAGTACTAATGTTTGCTTATTTCCTAAATTATCTCTTGAGATAAATGCCCAGGGGTTAGGCTTATTATTTCCTAAACTATTAATTCTTTTAATTTTTGTGACTTTATCCTAACCTTGGGGCATAGGTTGTCGAGTATATACGGGTTGTAGAAAAAGTATATCCATTCGTCAAAATGATTTTGTTCTTTCTCACAGGCTAAGATTTATGTTAGGAGAAAATTACCTAATTTTACTTAAGGTTGTGATTTGTGATCAATGGTTGGAGAATAGTAAATCAATCCACGAGGTTCAAGTATAATTAGAACACAAGTAGATTGTTAGATACTATTATATATCCTTCTAAGTTTATGATGTGTTTTAGCCTGGGTCAGCTAAGAAGACGGGCTCAAGTGAAGGAAGAGTAACCAAAGTTCTTCACTGTTTATCTTAATTAAAACAGTTGTTTTTCAAAAATTTGATTAGTCCTGGGTCGTTGATAAGGGTTGGAGAGTGAATCGACGTTTGAGATCCCTAGAAATTTTTTAGTAGGAGGTAGGGAGAACAATTTTGTTCCATTTGATCCAAAGGAAGCCTTGATGATCAAATATTTTGAAAGTGAAAAAGTGTAGAATGAAGTTTAAAATTAAAGATCCAAGGATAGCCTTGATGATCTGGTATAGGGAAAATTTAGATTGTTACAAAAGAAGGGTAAGGCTTGATAATATTAAATTTGAAGATGTCAGTTTAATGAAAAATCACTAATTGAGGATTGATTCATAAGTTAGAAATTTAAATGATACTATTTTCTAGTTAATTAAGGTTATGTTTTAGATGAAGGAACAACGAAGCATTAGCTATGAAAAGGTGGGGATACAAATCCTTGAGAACTAAGGAACTTCATATAAATTTAATCAAACTTTAACTGCTAAATAATTTTTGTATTTTGTATTCAAAAAATTTTGTTTTTACAAAAGCTGTAAATTTATTGGCGATTTGACGAAAGGAACATTTAAGTATCTCTTTATCAGTCGTCACTATGTTTGTCACTAGTATGAATCTCCAAATAATTTTTATTTCATGTTAGAGAATGAAAATTTACTGCATTGAGAACTTGGAAGATAAATAATCGTTGCAGTTTGCGTCCTTTCATGATAAAGATGAAAGGATAAGTTGTTCTGGTTTTGACTTGGTGTTTGCCGTATCATTTGAAGTAATGGAGTAGACGTTTTGAGACGTGAGACATAATTATTAGGTTTTCTATACTATCTTACATTTAGCAGTATATTTTGAAACTTATTTTTATTTTGAATTTGCTAAGTCTATGTTTGTTAAAAGGTCTTGTTCGAGACTACTGGTCGCACCAGATGAGTTCATGTCCGGGGTGGCTCACTCATAGAGTAATTTCAGATAAGGTACACCGTCTGTTCGTCACGCTATCCTAATTTCGGCCGGATAGGTTCGTGCAAATTCTTAGTCTAATACCAAGCTTACTCTTATATCTCCTAGTCTCAATAGATCTAGTGTATGCTGGCATTTGCAAGTTAGATTGCTGGAACTATTTTGAAGGAGAATAACTGTATTCTAAATTATATTTGTTTTGTTCTGTTGCTGAAACTATGAATAGTTTCAGCGTTACAAATATTTGTAAGTGTTAGTTAGGGATCATGATTGGTTAGTTAGAAATACTTAGTTTTTATATTTATACTTTTATCTATAATATAATTGGATATAAATACTAGTTTTAAACTGGTTCCACTTTGAATGATCGTTCATCAAAAAACATGGAATATATTAGGAGTGAAAACTCAAACCTCATTGAAGACACAAACTTCGAAAGCCAGAGCAAAAGCTCAGGTATATTTAGCCTTCCAATAGCCTTAAATTTTTCTTTTTTACTAAATTTGGAGCTCCATAACTCTTCCACGCCCCAATGGTATCATAAAATGAAAATTTTCCTGACATTATTTTTCATAAAATCATCTTAGATTTATGTAGGAAGTGCTTAAAAAAACTCAACTTCTAAAAGTTAAAACAGCAGTATCGGAAAAACTTTTGTGGCGAGGTCTTCTGAAATAAAAGTAATGCTGAGTCAGTAACTAAGTTACTCATGAAATTTCATTGATGTTTTGCATTATGTTTTGAAAACGGGGAAAATGTCTAAGCTTATGATTTTTTATTCAATACTTTTCCCTGCGAAAGTGTTGTAAATAACAAATTTCAGTTTTTTCAACCTGTAAAAAATAAGCCACCAAATGGCTTAATATAATTGTAATTGGCGTTGAAATTATTAATAAATGACAGAGCGCTTGTTTTATTGCTTCGGGGAATTTTAACTGCACCGTGTCAATAAAAGTTAATAATCTAGTACTTTTTGCCCAATTTTCAAGTCTAATTCTTCCTCATGGGAGCTCTAACTAATAAAAAACAATAAACACCAATTGATATTAAGTGGCACTGTTTATAAAGTTCAACTGTGCGCAAATTTGGTTACTTTTAATATAACTGCAGATGGTATTTTTGAATCATAATTTCAAATTTCATCGTAAAACTACAAATTCAGCCATAAACACCCAGCAAATTGTTGATTGCTGTTGGCTTTTTTTCTGCAACATCAAAACTGTTTAAAAAGTTTTGCTCTTGCAAATTTTGGGCGGTCACCGCAATACTTGACATCCTTTCGGGAGCAAACTTTTGATTTAATAATGAACAAAAAACAAGTTTTACTTCTTTGCATTGCAAATTTACTACTAATATCACGTAAGTTTCTCTTCTGAAGGTTCAAATTAACTTTTTATCTTTTGAGTACAATAAATGGAAGGAGTTAAAACCATAATCACATTGACTTTTTTGATGACAAATTAGCTTTGATATTCGAGGAAATATGAGTTCAAGATAAAATTCAAAAGCAAGATCTTTTATAATTGATAGTTTTGAAATTTGATAGAAAAAAGTGTAATAGCAACCTTAGGAAGATATTTCTGTGTCAATTCAGGAGTCGGATGTTGGGAGACGGCCATGAATCCCCGACAGAAGATGAGTGGACATTATGGTTCAAACTACATGATCGGAAAGAGGGTGTGTCCGTCAATCATTTTATATTGTAAAGTTCTCGAAAGTGGCTAAGATATCAACTATTTTGCAATTATCAATACTTTTTTCATCGAGTTGCTGCAGAAAACTGCATTAAAAGTAATCAATTAAAACAATTTGACTTGAATAAGTTATGATCCTAAACTAAATTTGGTCGGTGAAAACTCATATAGTATAGCATCTTTTACGTATATATTTTGTAATGTGCGGTCTGTATTTAGACAGCCGCGTATTCCTACTCGCCAGTAAGCAGACAAATACTGAATTAACCAATCAGAATCGAGACAAAGAAGAAACTAAAAAATAATAATTACTTTTTTTCAGAAGTTTGCTTTCTCATCTTGATTCTGATTGGTTAAAACAATATTTGTCTGCTTCCTGACCATAGGAATACGCGGTTGTTAAAATACATCTACGTAGTCATATTTTAGGATGTACCATTATGTATAATTTGCGGTAAATAACCAACAAATATACACAAAAATAGTGTAAAGACAAAAATAGTGACCAGCAACACCTCGACCAGTTATTGCGAAAATTGAGCACTGATAGCCGCGCAAATGAGAGTTTGAACTGATTGAAAACTCAAAATTATTTGTATTAGTACATAACATAATTATGCGTAAAAGATGTTATGTGCAATTGAGTGTTTCAAATCTGGTAGTTTTTTTTAAATATAGTTGTTTTTGTGTTTTAGAGTACTACCAACTTGAAGAAAAGATGGGGACGTAAGTTATGTTTTATTTAAAATACCCTGCCTTGTAGAATTATGCTTGCGACTATTAAAAAAAGATGGAAAGTCATCACAAAACAAAACAACGGTAGCTGCTTACTGTGCAAGCAGCACAGAATGTTCCTTTCATAGTCTTAAAAAACACAAATAAGTTTTTTTCTAGGACTTAGGCAAATTCAACAGTCATAATAAAATAAGCAAATTTGGAAACAATTTTTGTAGAAAATGAATGCAAAAACGAAAAAAAAACGTTAAAACATTTTAAAAAAATCAAATTTTGTCAACAAATTTTTTGCTTTTGAAAAAAATATATAATTTTTTTTATTTCCAAAATGATGCTAACAAACTCAAAAAATAACTTCACTTGAGTAAAACTAAGTTTTCAAGGCTTCAATAAAGCATATATAGGCTATTTTAAGCCTGGTCGATCACCTTATTCTCTCGAAGTTAGACCAAAAACCAAAAATTTAAAACAGGTTTTTCTCGTCAGTGAGAATTTTTTTTCCAAAAGTTTTAATGTCGTTAGAATCACAACTGAAGGGGCTTGAATATGATATATCACTTTACACTTTCCGATGAATAATTGTGGTACCTGATTATTTGGGATACAAAAAAAACAAAAGAGAAAAAACTAAAACACACCTGAATACAAAGTTCTTCCCCACTTTCAATGATCGGAACAATCGATCGACCTCGATGGAGAAGATTCTTAGGTCACCAACCGCCTGCCGAAAGGTCGTCGTTGGGTCAAAGACTACTATGAATTGTACTTTTCGCTTGAGTGCAAGCCAATTGTTCACAAAAACGTGCGGATCTCTTTAACTATATTTCCTTCGGGTACCTAGTAACAAACATCCTCCTAATAATATATAAATCATCGGTTAAGCACAAGAGAATTTTAAACCTAGCAACGAATTTCTTCCTACTCCAAAAGTGGGAATATAGTAACAGAGATCCGAATGCGCTTATAAGTCTTTACCAGGGCGGTAAAAATGGTTTTCCGTAAGTTGTGAACTAACAACGCGTTTGTTTATAACGTACAAGTACTACTGCACAAAGTGAGAACCAAGTTAGTCAAGCATTAGCAGGAGTACAACCAACGTCTTGGAGTTCTCTTCTAAACTTTTTTTTTTGACATGCAGTATATTAACCAATAGCCAACAGCGCTGTGACCAAAAGTGGTACAGGAGCTTGGTGTACCAGTTTGGTGGTTGTTATACAGTATTAGTAGTGCTTGGATGAATAATTTCAAGTTGAAAATATAAAACAAATTTTTTGGTGTCTTTTCACGCATAGTCAGATAGCAGGAAAAAAACAGTTTTTTTTGCTCTTCTGGCTTTTTATGTTGACGCCATTCGTTTGTTAGATGAAAACATCAATTCAAACGAACTACGTGATTTTTGATTTTCCATTTTATGCGTTGACTATGCTAACTAGTTTTTGAAGCATAAATTTAGTTTTTTTTTCTCTTTTCCATCAAACAATTCGGGACTGCTTTTTTCCACAGTTTTTTCGGTTATGATTCTGATTTAAAAAAATAATTGTTAGAAAAATATTTTCGATACTTTTCTTCATCACTCTCCCGCAAACCAAAAAAAAACTACAACAAAAAAGTAGGCGGCGAGGCAAGGTTAAAGCTACCTGTTTTAAAATGTTTTTCGAATTAATGGCAAAGTTATGATGCAAAATTTTGAAATAATGGCAAAGAAATAATCGATAGCTAAGTTGATAAAAGATTATAGCAACACGCGCACTACATGGCTGTTTAAGCACTATAATTTTTTGATGCATATCGTTGGAGGTTTCATATATTATGTCACCCCCGGATTCCCTCGTCAAAATTCTAACTGATGATGAGACCGCATATTGCTCGAGGTTGCAGACATTTAAAGTGATATTTTGAGATAATATATCACAATACTACAAATATCATATTTTAATATTCTGTTCAGTTTCCGATCTGACGGATTCTGTTTCTGGAGCTGCGTCTAATGTCGTGGATACTGTATCTGACGTCTCGTCTGACACCCTGGATAAGGCCACCGACCTCAAGGACACAGTTGTCGAACAAGGTTAGAAAACTGTTTGAAATTACCACAAATAATTGAATTTTAAAAGAAAAGAAGCCGGCTATTTCTGCTGAAACTTTAGACAAACGGTGCGAATAAAAAACTGCATTTAAGGCAAAATCGCTACGTTTCATAACAAATTGTTAAGAACAAAGTCTTATTGTTCCGAATTTTGATACGAAAGTAACGGAATATTTGTGCTCGGCGTGTTTTTTTTCTTCAGAGAAAATTCGACTTTTAAATAGCCATTTTTGACGAAATTTCTACATGTCATTTAAAAATTATATTGTTGTCCTGAGCTTAAATTTGAAAAGATTTTTCACCTGTGATCATTTTTCGTAAAAATCTGGGGGTTTAAAGATTGCCATTTTGGCAAATTTGTGATATATTTTGCGATATTAACGCGTAAGCGGAGCTTTAATCCGTCTTAGAAATTAGTCCAAATTGGTTGAAAGAAACTTATTTGCCATAATTGATTTGTTACAAGGAGCGAAATCTATTCTTTTGTACTTTATATGACGTGTGGGGGTTTTCATTTCATTTTATTACATTTAATTTTTTTAACGTTATTACTGCTCCATAAACCTTAAAAGGCAGTCGAAACATTCAGGGCTTCGCCCTGATACGAGCAGTTTTGTTAGTAACTAGTAATCGTTTATCGTGTAGAACAATTAATAAATCTGAATCTTTTCAGCGCTTTCACCAATTTCAGCTCGAAAAAATTACAACTAACTTTCTTGTAGAAAAAAAAAGAATAAAACTTTAAGCTAATATACTGCTTATATAAAGGTAAGCCAAATCGAACGCGGCGTTGTAAAAAAATTGCTATCCCCGAATATTGCAAAACACAAAAGTCTTCAGGTGGATTTGAATGAGTCGTCAACAATTAAAGAAAATTTCCTACATGATTCTGTTTACGTTCTTCATTTTGAAGCGAAGAAACTACCCTACTATAATTTTGTAAAAATCTAATAAGAGTAAAAAAACTGGCCGAAGTATAAGCCATTTGAAAATGCACGGAAAATATAAGCCAGCCAAAACTTTATGTCTAATCAATTAAACTTGCATGACTTTTGTAACTGTTACATAATTGTTACATATCTATGTTATAACACTTAAGTATATTCTGCTGATTGATACTTCGGCTGGCTTATAATTTGGCTGATTTAAATACCAGCAAATTTTATATTGGCCCCATTTTCAAGACTATGACACAATCGTGCCCTGGCTATCATGTTTTTATTCGAGTTCTCAGTTATCTAGAAACTTAAAAAGACAGACAAAACCACGAGGCCATAAAAGCAATCCTTTGTTCAATGCACTTTATTATAAAAACTAATTAAGATTTATTGTTATATGATAATGATTTTTAAAACTAATGAAATTAAATATATAAGGGATGGGACTTATCAATAAAGACTATATTTTTCCTTCAACTAGCCTTTTTGAGTGAGAAAAACATGTAAATGCAATCCAAACATTTTCAAATACCTTGATCAATAACCATGATATTAATGTTATGATACCGAGTGCTAGAAATTTCTTGTTTAAAGAGACTGAACATCAATTTCGAAAGCAATCAATGAATTACATCAAGGTTAGCAAGGAATTTTTTGGCAAGCAATAAGAAAAATTTGCTGATGAAGGAACCAAATTAGTTTTCCTCAATCAAAAACTCCATGCTAACCATGATGAAACTTCAACACTATTTTCAAAATTGTTGTTCACACGCAGGTTCCGTGAATGATAATAGATTATAATCGATTTTCGTGGTCAAAAATGTTGGTAATTATAATCAAGTCTAAATATACTTTGGGACCACACAATCGATAATAATCCTTATTTTTTACAGAAACAAAATCGATTATAATCATTCCTTTTAAAATCCATTTTTCTGCATTATTCACAGCCATCTGGATTTCCAAACGTAATCACATTTAGTTAAATTTTGCAAAACCAAGTTTTTGCACCTACCCCCCCCCCCATATCCCTTCTACCAACCTCACCTACGCCACCCCATATACCCCCTCGCCCCCACCTAACCCCCCATTTCCCCCACGTCCCTAATTATATTCTACATTTTTTTATTCTATAATCGCCTATTATTCCATTATAATCGATTATTTTAGAATTTTATGGAGACGGACCATGAAAATCCATTATAATCGATTATAATCGATGAAAAATCATTGCGGGCAGTCTTTTTACACCAAACATCCCCCGTAATCTTCACCATGCAGTTATTAAAATGCAGGTATGGGCAAAAGTTTGTTACAATAATTGCATATTGATTAACTATCGTGCTTGTTTGAACAGACCGATAAATTATCAGAGATCACGCAATAATCATTTGATGCTCGCTCGCTATCGTTATAAGCTAAAACAGGGTGATTGATTGTATATCAGGGCGAAGCTAATTTTCGTAAATTGTAGTTGATAAACTGAAAAAAAATAAAAAAAAATAAAAACTCAAACCTGCTTTTATTTTTGCTAGACTAATTGTCCAATAAACGTTGTATATGAAAAGTTATGATAGATTTTACCTATTTTTTTAATGAGTTTGTAGCTTAAAAAAATCATAATATTAATGATATATGCGATTCTCAGAAGATCTATCCAGCTTGTATAAGTATAGTCCATTTCTCTTGTTTCTTCTGATTCCACACTGGAATTTATTTGTTGAGAGAAGACAGTTTCTTTTCGCAATTGAAGGCCGCTTTTGAGTCTAGAACTTTTATGGTACCACTGTTATACCTGAAATTGTTGACCTGAAGCTACAGCCTAAGTGAGAGCTCGGCGTGGCAGGGGATCGAACTCTCGGTCTGACAATCTGAAAGCGAAGGCTTTGACCGCTATAGTTGGTGTCTCCAATTTAATTTTTTTTCAGGTCAGGATGTGGGAGAGTCTATTCAGGACGCGGCCGGTGACCTGCCCCTCCCCTCTTCCCCCTCCGAGGTCAAGGACATCGCACAGGGTCTCGAACTCTCAGATGTAATGATACTCGCAGGTAGGAATAAACCCAATCCTCGTGAACTGATATTTCATTTTATACAGTTTCGTCGATGATGTTTTTTCATCATTCTTGACTTTAAGGTTTTTTCTGCTATGTGAAACCTCCGATTACTTGAATGCTTTAAGTTTCCGCCTAAATATCTAACGGTGACCTTATTTCAGATGACCTTGGCCTCCCTTCGGATCTAGACTCTGTCCTCTCTCTGGCTGAGAAACTAGGCGTGGAAGTGACAGATGATGACATCATGAATCTGATCGCGGAGGTTGAGATGTCTGACCTTGAGGAAGTGTTGAAGGAGATCCCGGTGGAAGATTTGGTCGCTTTAGCCGGAGGAGTGGCCTCTCAGGTGCCACAATCTGGTAAGAGCATACAGCGCTACGCCCATAGTCGGGTGAGCTCACGCAGTGCTAGATAAAAGAGCCGAAGGCCCAAAAAGTCGAAAATAAGATTACCAGTCCAGCAATCCGAAAATTATTAATGTAATGCAACGTAACAACAGCTTGTCACTGTTGCTATGCAATTATTGTTACGCAATTATGAATGTCTTTTTCAGGGCAAAAAAGAGCATATTCCGACTGTTTTTTAAATATCTTTGATGTTGTCCAATAAAAAAATAATTGAAACTACAATTTATGAGATATTGAATTTTTTGTTTTCCCGCCCCAACTCAGCAGCGAATACCAACAAAATAATAATAATTGAGTCCTGTAGGGAATTATTGGTCCCAAAAATTTGATTCAATTCAGTTTAGGTTAATTTTGAATGCAAAATAACTCACTGCGCTGAAACAATTTGCGCTTACACGCATTTGTTATATATAATTTCTTAAAAACTGAACAAATTTTTTAAAAAAAATCTGAACAAAAAAATTATGCACGCAGCTTCCAAACTTCTGAGCTATCAACCTATGATGGAATTGTAAAGAACTCTCTTGGTTGTGGCGTCTAATAGATAATCAGGGCTCCATTCTGGAGAGGGAGCCTCAAAGACGGCTACCACTTACTAGTGAGGAGCACAATGCCTTATATAAATCACTCGGTTTCAATTTTCGATATAATCGTTCATTTTTACGCCAAGATATCGCGCTGAATCTGAAGTTTTTTTTTCAATTATACAAAAAAACAAGACTGCTCGTATCAGGTCGAAGCCTTGAATGTTCCGACAACCTTTTAAGGTTTATGGAGCAGTAATAACATAAATGCATAGAATTAAATGTAATAAAATAATATGAAAATTTTTTTTTCTTAAACTTCGAAGATTTTTTCTCTTTTCTTTCACACACCATAAAAAGTACAATATAATAGTTTTCGTTCCTTGTAACAAATCAATTATGGCAAATAAGCTTCCTTCAACCAATTTGGAACGATTTCTAAGACAGATTAAATCTCCGCTTACGCGTTAATAGCGCGAATTATATCGCGCGTTAATTGTCCCAATTGGCCACAATGGCAATCTTTAGGCCCCATAATATTACGAAAATGATCACTGGTGAAATATATTTTCAAATTTAAGCTCAGGGCAACAATAGTTTTTGAGTGATAAAAAATTCCGTCAAAAATGGCATGTTAAGAAGTCGAAAGTTGTCTGAAGAAAAAAAAACCCAACCCAAGCAAAAATATTCCACTACTTTCGTTACGAAAGTCGGAACAAAAACTTGCTAACTAGACATCAACTGTTTCTATATAAATGTTAAGCTAGGGCACAACAGCGGATTTCTGTGAAGAGATGACCAGCTCTTTTGTTGATCCATTCCCTTGTCGTTAAATCGTCTCACGACCAAGAGTTGAACAGCTCGAGTATTGGTCCTTTGAAACAGTTCGAACCTTTAATGAGTTATTCATGACAAATTTGTTGTCTTTTCCAGGTGGTGGAGGCTCCTCTGAGTCTGCTGTCGTATCAATAGAGATCATGGACAAACTCACAGCGGCTCGCATGATGATCGACAACATCGGTTAGACTTTTTCACCTTTCTTAATGGTCCTATGCAGCGATATTTTCCGAGTCAAGATTTTTCACCTAATTTGAAGCAAGATTTGAGCAATTTGAGCGTTTTTTTAGACTATTGCGCTCAAAATGTTGCTTTATAATGAGCGTTTTGAGCGGTTTTGAGCGATTATCAAAAAAAACGCTCAAAAACCGCGCAAGATTTGAGCGGTTTATCTACAAAAACCGCTTTGGCGAACAAATTCAAGAAATGAGCGGTTTTTGAGCGGTTTTGAGCAGTGTATCTAAAAAAACCGCTCAAAAACCGCGCAAGATTTGAACGGTTTTTGAGCGTTTTTTCTAGATAAACTGCTCAAAAACCGTTGAAATCTTGCGCGGTTTTTGATCGGTTTATCTGATAAAAACAGCGCAAGAACCGTTCAAATCTTGCGCGATTTTCAAAAGGTGTTTTTAAACCGTTCCAATCTTTCGCGGTTTTTGAGAGGTGTTTTCAGATAAACCGCTCAAAACTGCTCAAACTGCTCAAATCTTGCTTCAAATAAGGCGAAAAACCTCATGAAACGAGCGGGTTTTGACTGGTTTTTGAAAGCAAGATTTGAACGGTTTGAGCGGTTTTCCAAAAAAACCGCTCAAACCGTTCAAATCTTGAGCGGTTTTAGAGCGAGATCTCGACCCGCGTCCACATTTGATGCTATGCAGAAAAGTTTCACATTTAGTGCTATGCAGAGAAATTTCATATTTAATGCCACCCGGGTTGATCTCCATAGACCAAAAATGCTAATCAAACAGTTCTATAATTTAAGTCTATGAAAAAACATTAGTCATACAAATTTCATATAATTTGTTAAAATGGTGTCCTCGAAATTTCAACAAACTTTCTTCTCGTTTTCACTTAAAAGTTGGTGTATCGTACAAAAAAAGGAAAGCTTTTTGTCAAATTTCTCTGAATATATTTTTTTCAAAAATGTGAAAATTGTCTATGTTTTTTGCATGGCATGTTTTTGCATGCTTTGATCAAAGTCTGATAATTTAAAAACTCCAAATTTTAAAAAAAAATCATCCCTGAAAGTTTTTGCTAAAGTTTAAAAATTTGATGCTCTCAGTATATGATTTGTGAAGAGCACGTTTGCACAATTCAGGTCCTTTCCAATACCTTGTAAGTGCCAGACGATCAACTCTTTGGTGACTCTAGTTTTGAGTAAACCATGGTTTTAGTCATTTGTGTTTGGTAAAAAGTACGTTCCAAAAATTTTCAGAAATCAATTTTAAAAAATCAATTTTTTTTGATTTGTAATAAATGCGAGTCATACAATCTCCATATATGAAAAACCATACTCATAGAATTTTCATGCAATTTTTGTTTTTTATGGATTTGCATCAAAAATGTATGATTAGGATTTTTCCATATATGAAAATTGTATGCTTAGCGTTTTTGGTCAACCCGTGTATGAAGAAAAATTTGATGCTATGCAAAGCTCTGCAGAGAAGTATCACATTTGGTCTGTCTAAAATGGGATGTTAAAATTAGAATTTTTGCAGACCGCTGCATTATCCAAATAGCTATTCATTATTGTACAATGTCACTTTTCAAGCAGAAATTCTGCTAAAAGCATTATGTATAATAGCTACCTTTCCTTCTTGTCACGTCTGGTTTCTCTCAAAGTTTTCTAAAAGGTCTTTCCTTGGTGCTATTTTTTGATCTATTTTTGGATCTTCCCGCTCTCAAAAAAGGCGAATTTTGTTACGTAGGTTAAGTTAGGCGAATTTCCGACCAATCAGAATGCAGCAAAAATCGAATTCTGGATAAAAGCTCTAGTGCTAAATTATTGTAATTATTAGAGTTATTAGAGGGGTGGAGATTCTTTAGTAGGTACTGCAGTGGGAGTTTTTTAAGTAGATCTTTGTTTTTTTCTCCCAGGCCAACTTTGGTAACTAGACTGGAGATGAAGGAGAGAGTTTGTTGAAACGTTTTGTACAAAATGTTTTTAGCTAAATTTTTTCTTGAAAGTCTCAAATTTTTGAATACTGAACAACTTTTAGAGCATAATTTTACCATTTTAGCTTATTCTGTACAGCTACTTATAGTTTTTTTTAAAATACAGCAAAATGATTCCTTACTTTTTGACTGAACTACCAAAAATGTTTCAGAATCGTGTAAGCTGCAAGATGAAGCACCCAAAGAGGAGGAGAATTCTGTTAAAAGGGTGAGTTAGTCATACTTCTTGAAAAAAATATATTATGTTGTGCTATCAAAATTCTAATCAAGTTGTTATTGCAATTTGTTCTAAATGCACAAATGCAGCTTCAACCTATAATGGCTGGAAAAAGAGTGAGCAATTTTAGTGTATATATTGTGAAATAGTTAGAAACTTTAGGGAAATTTAGAGATTTCCTTTTTGTATGCAACTTGCGCTTTTCCCTCTGTAGTTTTACTCGGAAATTGAAGATTGGTTGCTGAAGATATTCAAAAACTTCGACTAAAATTTTTTTCTGAATACAGTGAATCAACGTCAAAATTTCAGTGAGCTGGTTAATTTTTGTATCAAAAACTGAAAAAATTCAGACTCGTTTTTCTCGACACTGAGACTATTTTTTTGGGAATCCATTTTGCGGTCAATAGCTTTTCATTATGATAGAGAGTAATACACACTTGACTCCTATTTCGTTTACCTGAGTTACCTACAATTTTCAGCTAAAGTTAACAAAGACCTTTTCTTGGATGCATCATAGTGTATCCACAACATACCACAGATGGTATAAAAGTGAAGATTAGTTTGGTAAATCAAGTGGATACCTGCCTCCTAAATTTTTCATGCCGCTCAGAACTTGTTTTTGTTGATAAAATCGAAATTTACTGGATACACACACAATCAAAAACTTTAATTTTTTCGCTCTATCCTTACATAATCTTGAAATTTTTTTCTTTCTAAGAAATGGAGCGGACTGGTTGTTGAACCATTGTTTTATCATTTTACCAAACTATGGTTTCAGAATTTTCACTTAAATTTGTTTTTTAAGCAAACGGAACGCAGGGAACTCCAGTTTCAAGTCATGCAAATAAATGTCTCTTAATACCTGTTTTTAAGCACATTTGGCATTGGCCTACGGTGATTGTCTCATTATCAAAAAACGCGGGTTCAAATCATTGGGAACACTCCAATTTTTTCAACAATTTTTTCAAAAGAGCGATTTTGCGTTACAATTATTTTAAGTTAATGCTAATTTTTCGCGCATCTTACGAAAAGAAAAATCTTTATACAGATTTGTGTATGCGGGTCAGAACATCTTCAGACAAAGTGTGGTATCCAAAAATACTTTTCGTTTTCTCATTTCGGTTTTTCCTTTTGTTCTGAGCAGTCTCAAAAAGTGCGAAAAGTTTGGCCCAAGGTATTTTTTAACGTATTTTCATAGGTATATTGAAGCCACTTCCTAGATAAAATAGTGTAAAATCTTATTAAACTTTTTCCGCAGTGACTAGGGTTAGTACTAATCATAAATTGTTTCCAAGTGAAGTCATCACACGTACAGAATTAGAAATGAAGATTTTTAAAATGAAATATAACACAGAAGCGCTTCAGTGATAAAAAACGGGTCTGATTTTTTTTCCATTTCTTAGGTTAATTTATTAGGCTGAATGACAAGAAATAACTTTATTCAGTCATGGTTGAAGAAATAAACGCCCAGCCCAGTCTAACTCCATATTGATTTTTAGCTTTGAAATTGTCGTCTCATTGCACGTAATTACTTAATTCATCCCTCTGCTTATCCATCAAAACACTCAAAAATTGCTAAAAAAAACTTGATTTAACTTGTTTTTTCATTTGCTTTTTATATTTCTTTTGCATTTTTTGGAGTTTCCCTTTATCCGTTTTTATTTTTCACCCAACAAAAAGAAATCCAGAGGGTGATATTCTAAGAATTCAAAAGATGTTGATTTTAACCTTTTTTAATAGCCTAAACCTATCATGGCGGGAAAACGTGTGAGTTTAGATTAATGCATATGCTCCATTTGTTGCGGCCAAAATAAGTGAACCCCTTGTGTCCGATTGATGTTTAGAAGAAATATAATAGTTCAATGAAATGAATTATTTGATTTAAAATAAGTGTAATAGATTGAGTTATCATAAACTTTGAGTAATTCCTCAGAACATTGACGCAAATAGTCATGACACCCAAAAATTAAACAGATTTGAAAATAGATCTAATCATTTTGTAGCCCCTAATAGATCAAGGGATGGTATCTTGCAAGATCTTTTAAAGAGAAGACTAAGCATCTCTTTAAAACATCTTCCATTATTCTTGCAAAATCTTGTGGGATAACCTCCTTTAAAGCTAATCATTTTATAAGCAAGATCTTTTAACATATGATTTTTGTGAGAAAAAAAGTCTACACGCGAAGACCGATAGCGTTTGGGTTTGGCGTTTTTGTTGGAAGTAGTGGTAACATTTAAATAACATGTAGTGGCAACATAAAAATTAAACAAAAAGAAAAGAAAAAATTGCTAAATTATAACTGCATAAAAAATGAACATTATTGTTCATGGTTTTTATGAAAACATAACATAAAAAATATCTCAAGCTTATTGACTCAATTAATCAAAATTGAGACATAAAAAACGAAAAGTTGAAATTCAATCACAGGAGATGAAAATTAGATGAATTATTTGAAAAACAATCAAAAAATATGTTTTCGAATCGTTATCTCGAAATGCATAAATTACAACCAGATCCTGAAACTTCTGACATTGCAAAAGCGGAAAAATGAGCAGATAAATGAAAATTTTTCAAACATGGTCAACATATTGTTTTAATAACTTAAATGCAGAATTTTTTGCGACCGTATTGGAATAGCAATTCGACTGCAGTCACAAAAAGTGCTGAAATTAAGTTTGAATAAAAAAACTAGATTGACCAAGTTTTAAAAACGTTCAGGTCATCTTCAACATCTTGAAAGATAACTTACTTTAAAAAAATTCACAAAAAAAATATTTTGATCGTCAGAAATTCATCATGAAGATCCATGTATCTCCATGATGTTTTTCTGGCGCTCAAAATAAATATTTGTGAAAATTTTTCATACAGAATATTTTGCAAGATTTTGAGAGAATCTTGCAAGATAACCTCACTCTCGCAAGATCTTGCAAAATGACCTCCACCTTGCAAGATCTGGTACGATAGCCTTCATTTGCAAGAACTTTACAAGATCTTGTAAGGAAACCTACCTTGATTAACAAGGGCACTGTAATTTTTTTCGGCTCTACAAATTTGTACATGATTTATATATCCCGGGTTGACCAAAACTTCTTTCATACAATTTCCATATATGAGAAACTTCTTGTCATACAATTTCATACGTACAGAAAATTGTATGAAAACTCTATGACAAGCATTTTTCCATATATGAAAATTGTATGATAGGTGTTTTCCCATAAACCAAAAATTTTGATTTTTTCTTTCTAAATTTATTTTCTGAAAAGACCTTGGTTACTCAAAGCACCAAAGGTTGGACGGTCTTGCATTTACAATGCATAGAAAACGACCTGAATTTGGCTGTCTTTCACAATTGATATAACAAAAGTAACAAACTTTTATTTTTTGGCAAAATTTTTTAATAATGATTATATTAAATTTGTGAATTTTCAAATTATCATACAATGATCAGGGCGTACATTAACACCCCATACAAAAGAAAGAGGAATTTTCAGCGTTTTTGAAAAAAAAAATAAGTGAAAAGAAAATAAAAGCCAATTTTATCGTATCCAGGACTACGTTATGCACACAAAATATTAAATTTTGCATGCAAAATTTTTTTTTCGAAAAATGTTTGTTTGCGTACGAAAATCGATTTGCGGTTGAAAAAAAAAACAAAAAAATTTTTGGGCCAAATTTTCAAAATTACTTAAAAAAAATTTTTTGTGTCGCCATCAAAAAAATGCCAGTCATACAATTTCTATATATGGGAATTGTATGATAAGCATTTTTTTCAAAAAACGGAAACCTCAGTTTTTTATCACCAAGAAAGAGGAATTTTCAGCGTTTTTGAAAAAAAAAATTAAGTGAAAAGAAAATAAAAGCCAATTTTATCGTATCCAGGACTACGTTATGCACACAAAATATTAAATTTTGCATGCAAATTTTTTTTTTCGAAAAATGTTTGTTTGCGTACGAAAATCGATTTGCGGTTGAAAAAAAAAAAATTTTGGGCCAAATTTTCAAAATTACTTGAAAAATTTTTTGTGTCGCCATCAAAAAAATGCCAGTCATACAATTTCCATATATGGGAATTGTATGATAAGCATTTTTTTCAAAAAACGGAAACCTCAGTTGTTTATCACCAGATTGTTTTATTAGAATCAAACAGCCACAGAAATAAGTTTATACCAGTTTTCAACCAGTTTTAGAAATTGTATGAAAATTGTATGACAAGCATTTTCCCACACACTTGATGTATGGAATTGTATGATAAGCATTTTCGGTGTACGGAGGTCAACCCGGGATGATAATAAAAAATTAGTACACAATGAACGATTTTGTACAATGTTATCAAACTGATCATAATGAATAAATTTTTACAATGATATAATACTGATCAAATAGCTTTTTGTTCCTCTATTCTTGTCTGTTGTTTGATAGGGAAGCTATATGCAAGGCAAGCGTAATTTCTTGCTTAAATTTCCAATGTAGTTTTTTGGTATTATTAGGATAATTGGCCGCAAACTCCCCTTTCCTCTTGCAATAACAGCACATACAATTAGTACTAAATCAGCGTTCATTTATTTTAACAAGTTAGTATGTGTTTGAACAAGGTGGTTTTTTTCTTATCGATATCTTTTTGATTGAAAATTGCCAATGATCTCTGAAAATTCTGAAAACAATTGTTATTGAAATCCAGAGGGTGATATTCTAAGAATTCAAAAGATGTTGATTTTAACCTTTTTTAATAGCCTAAACCTATCATGGCGGGAAAACGTGTGAGTTTAGATTAATGCATATGCTCCATTTGTTGCGGCCAAAATAAGTGAACCCCTTGTGTCCGATTGATGTTTAGAAGAAATATAATAGTTCAATGAAATGAATTATTTGATTTAAAATAAGTGTAATAGATTGAGTTATCATAAACTTTGAGTAATTCCTCAGAACATTGACGCAAATAGTCATGACACCCAAAAATTAAACAGATTTGAAAATAGATCTAATCATTTTGTAGCCCCTAATAGATCAAGGGATGGTATCTTGCAAGATCTTTTAAAGAGAAGACTAAGCATCTCTTTAAAACATCTTCCATTATTCTTGCAAAATCTTGTGGGATAACCTCCTTTAAAGCTAATCATTTTATAAGCAAGATCTTTTAACATATGATTTTTGTGAGAAAAAAAGTCTACACGCGAAGACCGATAGCGTTTGGGTTTGGCGTTTTTGTTGGAAGTAGTGGTAACATTTAAATAACATGTAGTGGCAACATAAAAATTAAACAAAAAGAAAAGAAAAAATTGCTAAATTATAACTGCATAAAAAATGAACATTATTGTTCATGGTTTTTATGAAAACATAACATAAAAAATATCTCAAGCTTATTGACTCAATTAATCAAAATTGAGACATAAAAAACGAAAAGTTGAAATTCAATCACAGGAGATGAAAATTAGATGAATTATTTGAAAAACAATCAAAAAATATGTTTTCGAATCGTTATCTCGAAATGCATAAATTACAACCAGATCCTGAAACTTCTGACATTGCAAAAGCGGAAAAATGAGCAGATAAATGAAAATTTTTCAAACATGGTCAACATATTGTTTTAATAACTTAAATGCAGAATTTTTTGCGACCGTATTGGAATAGCAATTCGACTGCAGTCACAAAAAGTGCTGAAATTAAGTTTGAATAAAAAAACTAGATTGACCAAGTTTTAAAAACGTTCAGGTCATCTTCAACATCTTGAAAGATAACTTACTTTAAAAAAATTCACAAAAAAAATATTTTGATCGTCAGAAATTCATCATGAAGATCCATGTATCTCCATGATGTTTTTCTGGCGCTCAAAATAAATATTTGTGAAAATTTTTCATACAGAATATTTTGCAAGATTTTGAGAGAATCTTGCAAGATAACCTCACTCTCGCAAGATCTTGCAAAATGACCTCCACCTTGCAAGATCTGGTACGATAGCCTTCATTTGCAAGAACTTTACAAGATCTTGTAAGGAAACCTACCTTGATTAACAAGGGCACTGTAATTTTTTTCGGCTCTACAAATTTGTACATGATTTATATATCCCGGGTTGACCAAAACTTCTTTCATACAATTTCCATATATGAGAAACTTCTTGTCATACAATTTCATACGTACAGAAAATTGTATGAAAACTCTATGACAAGCATTTTTCCATATATGAAAATTGTATGATAGGTGTTTTCCCATAAACCAAAAATTTTGATTTTTTCTTTCTAAATTTATTTTCTGAAAAGACCTTGGTTACTCAAAGCACCAAAGGTTGGACGGTCTTGCATTTACAATGCATAGAAAACGACCTGAATTTGGCTGTCTTTCACAATTGATATAACAAAAGTAACAAACTTTTATTTTTTGGCAAAATTTTTTAATAATGATTATATTAAATTTGTGAATTTTCAAATTATCATACAATGATCAGGGCGTACATTAACACCCCATACAAAAGAAAGAGGAATTTTCAGCGTTTTTGAAAAAAAAAATAAGTGAAAAGAAAATAAAAGCCAATTTTATCGTATCCAGGACTACGTTATGCACACAAAATATTAAATTTTGCATGCAAAATTTTTTTTTCGAAAAATGTTTGTTTGCGTACGAAAATCGATTTGCGGTTGAAAAAAAAAACAAAAAAATTTTTGGGCCAAATTTTCAAAATTACTTAAAAAAAATTTTTTGTGTCGCCATCAAAAAAATGCCAGTCATACAATTTCTATATATGGGAATTGTATGATAAGCATTTTTTTCAAAAAACGGAAACCTCAGTTTTTTATCACCAAGAAAGAGGAATTTTCAGCGTTTTTGAAAAAAAAAATTAAGTGAAAAGAAAATAAAAGCCAATTTTATCGTATCCAGGACTACGTTATGCACACAAAATATTAAATTTTGCATGCAAATTTTTTTTTTCGAAAAATGTTTGTTTGCGTACGAAAATCGATTTGCGGTTGAAAAAAAAAAATTTTGGGCCAAATTTTCAAAATTACTTGAAAAATTTTTTGTGTCGCCATCAAAAAAATGCCAGTCATACAATTTCCATATATGGGAATTGTATGATAAGCATTTTTTTCAAAAAACGGAAACCTCAGTTGTTTATCACCAGATTGTTTTATTAGAATCAAACAGCCACAGAAATAAGTTTATACCAGTTTTCAACCAGTTTTAGAAATTGTATGAAAATTGTATGACAAGCATTTTCCCACACACTTGATGTATGGAATTGTATGATAAGCATTTTCGGTGTACGGAGGTCAACCCGGGATGATAATAAAAAATTAGTACACAATGAACGATTTTGTACAATGTTATCAAACTGATCATAATGAATAAATTTTTACAATGATATAATACTGATCAAATAGCTTTTTGTTCCTCTATTCTTGTCTGTTGTTTGATAGGGAAGCTATATGCAAGGCAAGCGTAATTTCTTGCTTAAATTTCCAATGTAGTTTTTTGGTATTATTAGGATAATTGGCCGCAAACTCCCCTTTCCTCTTGCAATAACAGCACATACAATTAGTACTAAATCAGCGTTCATTTATTTTAACAAGTTAGTATGTGTTTGAACAAGGTGGTTTTTTTCTTATCGATATCTTTTTGATTGAAAATTGCCAATGATCTCTGAAAATTCTGAAAACAATTGTTATTCAACTAAACACTTTCAACAAAGACTGCGCTCATTTACGTATTTGACTCGATTAGGGACAATAATTGGCTGCAACGGGAAGAAACAACAATAAAAAAATTACAGAAAATTGAAAAACTAAACCATGGGTTTTTCAAACATAAAAACAAAATTGAGCCCGAAATTTTTGAATCATAGATTAAACCTGTCATGGCTGGCAAACGCGTAAGTATATTTCTTGGAAATACAAACTTGATGTTGTTTTTCAATTTGATATAGTGTTGTAAAAAAAATGCGGCTCATTGATAGTTGAATGGTTTATTAATAGACTGCTAGTTACTTGTTTAGTTTATGTGGTTAGTTGTAAAAATCAGTCCAATATTTGATGATAATTTAAAAAAATTTTGACAAACAGAGTATAATTTTTTTTGTGCCAAAATTTTGATCGAAGTATTTTAGAAAATGTAATTTAAACTTATTTAACAACAATCACGGGATATAGAACTTGCAATTTTTAGTTAGAGATTTTTGATTGAAAGTTTGACATGTGATAGATGAAACGATTTATCAGAGAATAGCAGATAAAAAGCGTGAAAAATGTGGTCGCTTAGGTAGGTGCTCTCAGATTCGAAAAAACTTTAAACACTATTAGCAAATTGAAACTTTTGATTTAACAGTATTCATTAAAAAGCTAAAGATCATATAGGCCCTCATATAGGTTTCCCTTCATTTGAAAAACTCAAAAACTTGTTACGTTTCTAGACAGAAATTGGCTGAAAATTCAAAAATTTTCTGAAAAAACAGCAAAAAGCAGAAAAACGGAAATAGTTTTGAAGTTTTTTGAAACTTTTTCAAGTAAGAAGTAACATATCTGAAGGCCTAGCTTAGATCCTTAACTTTCCAATAATTATATTTATGTCCAAAGTGGTTTTGCTTTTAATGGAAATTTTTTGGCTCTGAGAATAACTCTCAGACACCTTGTACTTGAATGGCCAAGCGAAACCTTTAAAACAACTTTTTACGGTTTTGTATCTGGCTTTATCCTAAAAACAAAAAAAAGTTTCAATTATCACATATCAAAACTTCAACCATGAAGCTCTAATAGTTGTAGAAAATTGGTAGAAGCGTGAAAAACTTTTTGTTCATTTCATTGGTTGAAAACCAAAAGTTGCAGCCTTTATAACTCGTGACTGCTTATCAAACACCTGAGACCTTTGAGACTTTACTTGAATTAAACTTATAGGAAATTTATATTCTGAAATTTCATGGCTTAATTCTGAAACAACTAGACTCAATTTAATAAATTTTTCTAAGTTTTGATTACAGAAATTAAATGATAGCCATTTGATGAAATTGCAAACTAAACTCTTAGAAATTGCACTTTCTTTGTTAAGAAAAAACTGTTATATAAACAAAAAGAGTCATTTAAAAATTAATTTTGTCGTTTTGCCTCAGAAGAGCTTTACCAATCGAATAGTTTTGACAACTTTTTGTACAAAAAAAAACATCGAACGAAATGCCTTGAGCTCAAAATAGCTAAAAGCACAGAATTTCCTCCAAAAGTTAACTTCCAAAAAATACTTAATTCAGATAATTTTGTTATATCTGTTTGTAACACTGTAAACTCCAAAATGTTTTTTTTTTCGCATTAACTTCAATAGGCCTTAAAAATAGTCCAAATTTTCAAGATTATGCCCGATGTTAACATTATTCTTAATTATTTTGCCAATTTCTGTATATTTCATGTTAGGAGAACTGGAAGGAGAACATTTTCATAATATATATAATTTGACAAATTCCAAGATTTCCACATTATTATGTTGCTTTATAACTTTGGCACAATTTTAAAATGATTTTTCATGCAGCTCTATCCCATTATGGCGGGCAAGCGAGTAAGTGTTAATGTGACACTCAAATTTATTGGAATACATTTTTGTTCCGACTGTCGATTATTGTTCCGACTTTCAAAGAAAACGGAACATTTATGCTCGGTGTGGTTTTTTTTATTCAGTCATTTTTTGCCGATCGAAAGTAGTTTTCGGCAAAAGGTTTTTTTACGTTATTGAAGATATCGACTTCCTGAGTTCAAATCTAAAAAAAACATCTTACCTCCAATTATTTTTTGTAAAGTTCTGGGGGTTTGAAAATTGCCAAAGTGGCCATGTTCTGGACTAAATTATGCGCGTTTTGAAGAATTTTTTCGTATTGTTCAGAGTGTAACGCGATTTTTAATTATGCGCGGCCATTTATCCCGCACAACAAAATCGTTCTAAACTGAATTGAGGTTAGCTAATCAGATTGGTCGTATTTATTTCGTCCGACACAGCATTTGACAGATTGATTTTGTCCAAAATTTATAGGTTGTCACTATTTTCTTTTCTGTGAAATAGGGGACAGTCGGAACATTCAGGGCTCTGCCCTGATATACGAGCAGTCTTGTATGTGTTTCATATACAGCCCAGTTTCGACTTTCAATTTTTACACAAGTTTTTCAAGTCAAGGAAGTTAAAGGGGTTCAAACCACACAGGGACCACACAGGAAATCATCATGCGCATAAAATTTTCAATCTTCTATAAGCGGCGGAGTAATCCAGCTCAAAATTTATACAAAATTGAGTTGAATCCGACTATTTAATATAAAAAGATTGTTATTAGATGCGAATTTTAGATGAAGCAGGCTATTTTTCTCCTATATGTGTGTTACAGATTCAAAGTGTTTTGAACTTTACATTGATTATGATGGAATTTTGAAAAAAAAGTTACTTTTGAATTTTTTTTGAACCTCTTATAAAATATTCAACCAAAAATTACTTAAGACAGCATACCGGGCAACCGGAAAACTTAGACGCCTGAACTGAAACAAAAAATTTTGTTGTACCAATTTTCGAAAAAGTGCTGAATAATTCTTCGTGGAAGGGTTTTTTGTATGACTCAGTCAAATTATGAAAATCGAAAAAAAAATTTACCAAAAAATGCATGTTCAATGGAAAAATTGACTCCCTGATTCAAAAGTTCAAATTTCAGAAGATATTCTACTTTCAACAATTTTGCTTTAAATTTCTGGGAGCTTGAAAATTGCCAATTTTATCCTGTTTTGGACTAATTTATGCGCCCTATGAAGGATTTATTTATATGCTAAAAGCGTAAAGCGAATCATTTATTGGTAGCAATATTTTATCTGGCATTTGAAATGTTTCCAAAATGAGGCAATTTAATTGGTCACATCAATTTTGAAATGCTGAAATTTTTATTATCGGGGTTTCGTTTTGTCTAAATTTATGGTTTTTCAATGTTTTGTACGAACAACTACTCAATACAGATTAGGAGGCGGTCGGAACATTCAAGGTTTTGTCTTTATACAAGAGCAGTCTTGTTAATTTATGTGCTGATTTAATTACTCTGGAAAAAAGTAAAATTTCTTGATTTAATGCATGGTTTTATTGAATTTGGTTGACGTTTCATTGAATTTGGTTGATAAAAGTCGCAAAATAATTTTGAAAAAAAAAATCTATTTGAATAGTCAAAACTTGAGCATTTTGTTTTTCAAATAACCAACCAAAAACTTAATATGAAGGTAGGTTTTTTCCGGCTTTTTCCTATATTAAAAAATACATATAAGTATTAACTCACTGTTTTCTAGAATTAATTCTCAAAAACAGAATCCATCTACTCTTAGCAATGTGGCTCTCTGCAGTAGTATAATTTTATTTAGAGTTCGACATTTTTTCTGCAAAAATTAACTCCTTTATTCAAATATATTAATTTAAAAAAACTGTGGTTTTGGCGATTCGTGGAGAATCTATGAAAAGCTATGCAGCCTGTCTGCTGTCACATCATAGTCAGCTTCTATTATTTTCCCCACATTGAAATTTGAGTTTTTTATTGAGCGAAGCCGTTTTTTATAATTTAAGGTGGTTTGTTTTGTTTCGAGAACTTTCAGGTAGTACCATTATTGTCGCCGAAATCAGTCAGGTTGTTAAATGCATCAATTTCTTAACCTAAAAACGCCAACTAATATTTTGACCAATATCAGGTGGCGGGCAAAAATATTAGATGTGTTTCTGACTTGTACCTTGACATGTTTCCTCGTGATTGGGGAAGGGGGCTGAATTTTTTAAAAAAAGTTTACAGTATGTGGTTTAAAGACTCAACCTTATTATAATCGAAATAGCTATAGAAGCGAGCCCATAAATTTTTTAAAATATTTGTCTTTTTTGTCTCACTTGCAGCAAGAGTACTCAGAAGTTATGACATATTTAATGCATTTTAAATCTTGCAGAAGAATTGAAATAACTAAAAATCGCTATTTTTTGATATATTGCTGGTTTTTTGTCGAATGAAATTTTTGATTGTTTGTTTTTCAGATTTTTTGTAATTTTTTATTTGAAGTTTTTTGTAAGGAAAATAATTACTAATTTCAGTTGTATCGTTTTAGCTGCAACCAAACATTGTCACAGATATTCATTGCCACTGTAGCAATATAAGTTTCATCATTGTCACGTGTCAGTTCGTCCTACCCTGTTGGCCTTTCATTTGCCTTTCATCACTACCTTCCATTTCAAGTTCTATCCAAATTAAACGTTTTAGTACAAAATATTACTATTAAAAGCTCGACTGTGGTTGATGAATCTCATCTAGTTTGCTTCAATTCTCAAAGAAAGTGACAAAAATTAAATTTATAATAGTTTTTGGGTGATTCAGTCAACTCTTGCTTTTTAACTAAACTTTTTGTTGAGTACAACTTTGTGAGCATCTGAGAGATTGTAAAGAACTCAAACGTAAAAATTTTTACCAGTGATCCTTTTTTCGTAAGAATATGGGGTTTGGAAATTTGCTGTTTTGGCCTTTAGGGATATTAACCCCGCGGTATATTGCTTTCTTTAAACACGCCTAACCAGTGGGTTGAATCGTTCATAATTTACTTAAAATAAATATTCGAAGAATGTCTGAAAAAACATCTTTGGATTACATATTGTGTGGGATGCTGAAATGAAGAAACATGGAACAAAAATTTCATCTTTTTTTTCTAATCAATTTTTCGACCAAAGCTTTAAAATTGGACCTAAAATCCCGTCAAAGCATTCAGGGCTCCATCCGGATTCAGGAGCTGTATTCTTTGCTTTTCTGCTCAACGCGCAGGTTGATCTTAATTTTTTCTATTTGTTTCAGCAATTGATAAATGGCGAATTAGTCAAAAGCTGGTCTCAAGTAAGCTGATAATTGGCAATTTCAGTCCAATTAAAATAAATGCATTTCAGTTAGCTCACAGAAAAGAAAGCAGAAACTATTTTGAGAGGTTGACAAAACAGCATCTAGATTACAACTTCAAAAAATTACAACTTCCAGAGAGCATTAAAAAAACTTGATAATAATTTAATACATTTCGTCGTGTTACAATTCCAAAATGTTAGCTATCAATTGGCTGAAACGATCATAGCATAGTCAATGTTTTTGCGATTGAAAAACATTGACTATGCTATGATGAAACACGACCAAAATATCAATTTTGTGCAGCATTGCAAAGATGTGGATGCTTTGTACACATACCTCCGCTCCGCTTAAAATTGGCCTTGGAGGTATAGCTCCAGTTAATCAGTATTTGTCAAAATTTTCAGCCACTCCAACATGCAGTAATAGTTGGCTAAAACTCAATCAAACGTGTCTAAGTCGATTTTTACCATTTTATCTTTATCTTGTCTGACGTTTCCAGCTGTTTCAAAGTTCCGTGCCGTGAAATACTTTTGCAATGATTGGCTAGTGGTAGATACTGATTTGCATTCTGTAACCTTGCTTTTTTTTCTGCACAGAATCATGAGCGAATAAAAATGTATTACGCTTTTTGACAATTCTAATTGAATGAAAATAGTGCTCAATCTTTCAAAGAAAGGTGTAAATATTATCATTGGGGCAGTTTTTTATTCAGTAGAATTTCGGGGATCGAAGTGATATACAAGCAATTGTGTTTCATGTTGTATCCCCTCGATCATGAGAACAGCCCCATTCTCACTGATTCAATTAGCCACTTAAATGTAGACATGACTGCTCATATCAGCGCGAAGCCCTGAATGTTCCGACTGCCTTGTAAGGTTTATGGAGCAGTAATTACATAAATATCATTAACATATTAAATGTAATAAAAAAATGAATTTTTTTTTAATTTGAATTTTTTTCTATGAAAATCATCCTCCACTTGCCATATAAATTACAAAAGAATAGAATTCGCTCCTTGTAACAAATTAATTATGGCCAAATAAGCTTCTTTCAACCGATTTGGAATGATTTCTAAGACGGATTAAACCTCCACTTACGCATTAATAGCGCGAAATATATCGCGCGTTAATTGTCCCAAATTGGCCAAAATGGCAACCCTTAAACCCCCATAACTTTACAAAAAATGATCACAGGTGATATATCTTTTCAAATTGAAGCTCAGGACAACAATACCTAATATATTTTAACTATAATATATTTTAACTCCGTCAAAAATGGCTAGGTAAAAAGTCAAAATTTGTCTGAAGATAAAAAAACCCACCCCGAGCACAAAACTTATCGAAAGTCGGAACATTAAGTTATCTAGAGCCTTGGTCTACTAATTTACCAACAAATGTGATGATAGTGCAATAAACGACGTAGCAATTAACCAAGATTCAACCAACCAACCAAAATTTTGAGATTTTTTCAAACTTATAGGACCAAAATATGATACCTCTACGTTATTGAATTTGAAGAAGAGCAGGCTCTTTTTCCTCCTTCACCTACTAGATGCTCCATTTTTTTGTTTCTTACGTGTTTTAATGGTTATGAATTTAATTATGGAAGACAATTAACGTTCATAATTGTTACTTTGTTCACCACGCCAAGCCTCATTGCATAATGAAAGTTTTGAAACAAATTTTAAAAAACAAACTCAAAAATGGGGTGGGGGAGAGCAAAAAATTTTTCGAAGTGAATGACCTAACTAAAGAACTGTTCAAATCTTTGAAAGCAATCAATTGAAAACTTTAATGAACGAATAACTCAAATAAAGCTCCTTCTCCAGTGACATTTTTGTAGATAATTCCCAGTGATTGTTTTTTTTAAGCTCCATGATTACAGGCTTGTGCATAAACTAGAGTTATGGAATCCCCAGCATGAGAGACGTAGAGGCACTCCAGCATGCGGCAATTATTGTCAAAAAATCACACAATTGTGTCTATGTCATATTCTGCTATTTCATCTTTATGTTGTAATACGTTACCATTTATTTCGGTGAAATAATTAAGCATCGATTGGCTACTAGTAGAGATTTTTTATTTCGTAAGTTTGCTTTCTTTTTTTGTGCAAAGTCTTGAGCAAAGAGGTATTTATTATTTTTTTTGGCAATTCTGACTGATTGATTTTTTTGTTCCGTCTTTCGAGGAAATGCAGAACATTTATGGATGTGGCAATTTTTTTAATCGGTTGATTTTGAGGATTGATATGATAGTTTTCAATTTCAATATTTACAGTCCGTTTACTCCCGTGCTACTAAAAACAAATTTGGAAAAACTACAAAAGTTTGAAGTTGTGAAAAAAAAAATTGAAATATAAAACTTGAGCGTTAATATTTGCCTCGAGTTGACATGTCAAATGAAGTTTCTCAGATAGTTATTTGTATGTTTCAGATGGGCGGACTTCTAAATCGCATGAGCAAGAAGGTATGTAATCGAATTAGACTTGCAAAGATTATGACTTGTAAGCTTATTTTTTATTAAAATCACTGCCGACATTGTATCTGTGGCGCTAGCTGAAACTGTTGTGGGGCTTGCTAACATTGTGTTGGTGGGGCACTTGATGGTCTTTGGAACTTTTTCCACCTAGGAATAAGTCACGCAAGCTTACGTTTTATTTTGTCTGAAAAATTGTGGCGAAATTCTTAAAAAATGTTAATATTTATGCGCGAAATTTTTCTCTGCCATACGAGCAGTCTTTTTTCAATTTTTATCCCCTCAATCATGAGAACAGCCTTCGTTCTCACCTCTTCAATTATCCACTTGAATATGTACAAAACATCTAGAGCTGTCACCTACTAGTTCACCAAAAACTGTGACGCTAGTGCAATAAACTATGCTTCAACTGGGGACCGATCGTTTAGCAAACAAATCTTTTAGCATAAAAAGTGAAAATTGAGTTTTTTAGCAGAATAACCTGATAAAGTGATGGATGATTGATTGACAGACTCAAAAAAACGCTCAGCCTGGGGCCAAGTGTCCCCAATTAAAACAATTATTTCACGCCTTGTCATCAAACTATCAACTTCAAAAAGACAAGTCTAAAACGGGCAAAATAAAAATTTACAGTCTTAATAGCACTCGTTTTGAATTGAAGCGCAGCGGGGTAAGTGGTCGCACCGCTGCAACTAATTGAAAATGAACCAAAATGGGACAATCAACCGGAACTTGAGCAATTTTTCAATTTTTGGAAACAAATTAACCTCCACTAAAAAGATTTACAAGAATCTTCTCCATTTTACCCTGTTTTTCAAATCTTATATGTTTATAACTGTTTTACATGTTATTATGTCTAAACGCTTAATGTCACAAGGTAATTCAATAAAAAATCCTTTGAAAGAGTTTTTAGGTTGACTTGAAAGTAGAAGGAGGCGAGTGGAAAAGGGACAAAATACAACAAATTTTTCAAATTGAGTAAGCTTTCAAAAAAAATGTCAAAATGCTAGAAAGCGCTATCTATTAAAAACTGCTAAATTTTCCAGATAACTCCCAAAAAGTCTTGTTTAAGTTCCATAATTGCATTTATCTGCGATAACCAAAAATATGAAATTGCTATCATATAAAAAGTTCTTTCTAATGCTTCAAATTTTTGTGAAAATTATATAATTTTTGGCTTATAGCTACATCGGCTTTTTGTTACAGCGGCTTTTTTCACGCACACCCATAAATTGATTTTTTGTCAAAACTTTGCTGCCATAGAGACCCAGAAAACTTTTGAAGGCCGCTTACTTCAGCACTACCAATTACAAAAATTTACCAATATACCTGAACTTTCAGTTGTAATTGAAAGTTGCAAAGATGTGGACGCTTTGTACACATACCTCCGCTCCGCTTAAAATTGGCCTTGGAGGTATAGCTCGAGTTAATCAGTATTTGTCAAAATTTTCAGCCACTCCAACATGCAGTAATAATTGGCTAAAACTCAATCAAACGTGTCTAAGTCGATTTTTACCATTTTATCTTTATCTTGTCTGACGTTTCCAGCTATTTCAAAGTTCCGTGCCGTGAAATACTTTTGCAATGATTGGCTAGTGGTAGATACTGATTTGCATTCTGTAACCTTGCTTTTTTTTCTGCACAGAATCATGAGCGAATAAAAATGTATTACGCTTTTTGACAATTCTAACTGAATGAAAATAGTGTTCAATCTTTCAAAGAAAGGTGTAAAGTTTATCATTGGGGCAGTTTTTTATTCAGTAGAATTACGGGGGGGGGGGGATTGCTCAATTAATTGTTATTTTGAAAGATTATTTATTACCAATTTTATGCTCTGGATAGCTTTTTAAAGTAGTTCTGGGAATGGAAAAAATAGTTTCTGGCCAAAAAAAAAAAATTCATGAAAATGTCGTCGAGCTCAAATGTGAGAAAAAAAAATTCTGCAATCATTTTTGTGTTTTAAAAATTGCTAATTGGGTTTGGAAATTGGCATTTTGGTTGTTTTCTGGACTAACTTTAGCGTTCTTGGAAGATTTTATCTATGATGCTGAAACACGACTTTAGCAGAGTCTTTAATTCTGTAGTCTCTTCTTTCAACCATGAAAAAATTTCCGCTCGAAAGTTTATAAATGATTGATTAATTTGATTTCAGGGCGAGCTATAAGCAGTAGTCATATCATGTCACCTTGAAAAGAAAAGTTAAAACTTTTTTTGATCACTTTTTCACTTTGAGTCGGTAATTCTGTGCTATTTACACAGCAACTGACTTTTTCTCACAGATAAGAGTCGCATTTACAATTTTGGAACACTTTTTGGTAAATAAAATACAGTATAACAAATATCAAACCAATTTTGTTTCAGAGCGGCGGTCTATTGAAGTACTTCAAGCGGGTGAATATAATTTAAACGTTTTTACTTTGGGAAGTTTTATGTGGGAAGTTTTAAGATTAATGACAAAAAAACTGTTTTCATTTTAGACCGGCGGTTTATTGCATTTCATGAAGCGGGTAAATAATTATTCGAATGCTTATATTTTTGGAAGCCGTTTTGTAATCATTACAATTATGACTGAGAACCACTTGTTTTTGTTTCAGAGCGGCGGTCTGTTAAATTATTTCAAGAGGGTAAGTTTTACTTTTGTGTATTAATTTCATGGTGAGTCTTCCTGGAAATGTGAAAGATAATTAAGCTCCCAAATAACTTTTAATTGACCAAATTGTGTTGCTCCTCAACGCATTGATTGGTATCTCAACTGGAACCAAATCAAAAGAGTTTTCATTCACTCAAAACCCTTCATTTGGCATTTCTCATGACCTGGTTGTCTCGAGTTATTCTGAACTCCATTATTTTTGGCAGTTGAATTATTTTTGAATGTTGAAATTTGGCTGGATTTTGAAAATCAATTGAGCAAGCTACATCCCCCCCCCCCCCCCCGTTTCTCTTCCCAAGAAAAAACGGTAAAACGCTACAAAAGATATTTACGAATGCAGACAGATGGTTGATGTTTTCAGAGCACGCAATCATACTGAAGTTTGTTTTATCTGAGTGTCGAGAACACTTTTGAACGAGAAAATAAGAAGTCACAAAGAAACATTATTGAAGTAACAAATTGAAGTAACAAAAAGCAAATTTTTGTTTGTGCGGGTAAACAAGTTAACCGGGTTGGCACTCTAAATTTTGTTCTGACTTTCGTAACGAAACTAAGGGAATATTTGTGCTCGGGTGGGTTTTTTTCTTCGGACAAATTTCGACTTTTTAAAAAAACATTTTTGACTGAAGAATTTATATCATTCAAAAAGTATTGTTACCTTGAGCTGAAATTTGAAAAATTATTTCACCTCTGCTCGTTTTTTGTAAAGTCATGTTGGCCAATTTGGGACAATTAGCGCGCGTTATATTTCGAGCTATTAACGCGTAAGCGAAGATTTAATCCGACTTAGAAATCGTTCCAAATTCGTTGACGGAAGCTTATTTGTATAACTGATTTGTTACTAGGAGCGAAGTTTATCACTTTGTACTTTATATGGCGTGTGGAGGAATGATTTTCACAAATATTTTATTTTTATTATATTAAATTTTTTCATGTCATTACTGCTTCATTGACCTTCAAAGGCAGTCGGGACATTCAGGGCGTCGCCTTGGGCTGAAATTTGAAAAATTATTTCACCTCTGCTCGTTTTTTGTAAAGTCATGTTGGCCAATTTGGGACAATTAGCGCGCGTTATATTTCGAGCTATTAACGCGTAAGCGAAGATTTAATCCGACTTAGAAATCGTTCCAAATTCGTTGACGGAAGCTTATTTGTATAACTGATTTGTTACTAGGAGCGAAGTTTATCACTTTGTACTTTATATGGCGTGTGGAGGAATGATTTTCACAAATATTTTATTTTTATTATATTAAATTTTTTCATGTCATTACTGCTTCATTGACCTTCAAAGGCAGTCGGGACATTCAGGGCGTCGCCTTGGTACGAGCAGTATTGTTTAACTTTTCTCTACAGTAACTTAAAAGTGTACAAAATCAATAATGTTCATTTTTTGAATTTCTTTTAAGACAAAACGAAATTGGCCTTAAATGCATCAGTTTTGGTGATTATTTTTCACTCTGTAAGTAATTTTTGTGCTTTGGCATTGTGAATTGGCCAAAAATCTGGCTCATGATGCGATAACATTAAAACGATTTACCAGTGGTTATGAACATTCCTCAAGTACCTATTGAGCTATCTTCCCCCCCCCCCACTCGAGAATGGGGGTTGGGTGGAGATAGATAGCTCAATTGATTCAATTTTGGTCTTGCTTGTAGGTGGAATCCCTCATACGCGAAGGTCCAATTGCGCGAAAATAAAAATCAGCCAATCAGATTTCAGAAATCTAAAATTTGGAAAGAGAGTAAACATTTCCGGGGACTGAATATTGATGTTGGCCGAATATAAAAACGGCAGAAATATGCAACTTTTTCAAATTGTCACTGACTGTCGCCGAATTGGAAAAAAATTTATATTTCAAGGGTTTTGTTATAAAAGAAGCAAAAAATTGCTTCATTTAACTGAATGGCAATTGGTTCTTTTTAAAAATTGACTTTCGGTCGCGACGGTCAAAAAGTTAGCCGCGACGGTCGAAAAATTATTCGCGGTGGTCGAAAAAGTACTGTAGTACCCAAAAAATGTGCCGGCTATCTATCTCAATTTTTAAAGACCAGTAATTTGAATATAATTGAGCACAACAACCAATTTTTCCTACCTTTTATTCAGTTAATTTAAAAAACTATCACTATTGGTTTTAAAAAGTCATGCACCAGCCACTAAATGGCTAAGCCAAAAAGTTCTTCCAATTTTTCTTTTAGAGCCATGATATCAAACGTTCTTTCAGAACTTCGAGATGAGAAAAAAAAAGCAGGCAACGACGCATAGAAACGCTAGCAATATTTTATGCTATTATATTTATATGCTATTTTATTTATCTGCTATTTTATTTATCTGCTATTTTTACAGTCCCCACGTTTCAGTATATTGGATACATACGACAGAAATACGCTACAACAGGAGTAGCCAGCAGATAAAAATCCAACGAAAATCATATAAAATTCATATAATTTTTTTTCTTTGTTCCCTAATTTGTGCGTGGTGTGATGAGAGGAAAGACGAAAACTTTTAGATAACTTCAATAAACTTTCCAAGAAAGAGCCAACTGAAGCTTCAAAATATGGCGTTCTTCAAGTAAAACGAATTTTTCCACAATTTTTTTATTATAAAACCTACTTGCATGCTTGAATCGTTCGAAATTGAAGTAAAAAGTGAAATTTTCAAACCAGTTTTCATAGCACTGAGAAAAAAATTTGATATTCTTATTAACGACTGAAAGAACCTCCATATATTATATATCTTTTTTCTTAATTAATTGTGATATCTGAATTTGCTAGGAAAAAAGTATAAACGACTTGGCTAAAAGACACCTGAAGAAGTCAGTGGTCGAAACAACTCACTGTATTAGGATACAAAACGAATAGGTTTCAAATTTAAATTTTATGAATTTTAAAAAACTGTGTTGATTAAACATAAGCCATGTGAGTTATCATTGCTTGTTTTAGAGCGGAGGTCTATAATTGTTTTAAGCGGGCATTTAATAAATTGTTTATTTTTTTAAAAGTCGGTTTATGAAAAATTATTAACGATTGCAATCACCTAACTAATTTTGTTTTAGAGCGGTGGTCTATTAAACCATTTCAACAAAAGGGTAAATATCAATTTCGCGTATTATATTTGTTATTTCAATGATAATAAATGACTTGCAGAGCTGTGAAAGCAACTAAGTTCCCAAATTACACCAAGTTCATCAAATTTTGTACTGTGATATAATAAAGAATATTCATTGGAGTTGATAAATGCTGTCTGATGGTCAACAAATACAAGAAAAACAACTCTTTTTAATTTTTTGAGGGATGTTCGTTTTTACGCTACTTACTACGAATTTTCACATCACTTCATTGTCATTTTTTCAGGTTTACAAAAGTGTTAAGTTTTTTCTATTTCTATAAGCATTTTCCAAAAGGACTTAAAGTTGCATGATTTTCTACAACACTTCGTGGCACTTTTCGGGTGAAAAAAAAAGATTTTTGGTTCTGTTATACGACCCCAACTGATCTGTTAGATTTTTGAAAAATATATTCAAATGCTTGAATCTGGTTGGCCGATACTAAAATGGTGCGAATAAAAATCTTAAGTGTAATTTCAATTAAAATTTATTACTTATTCGAATCAGACTAAAAACAAAACATACAAAATTTGAAATTTGAATCGCGTTTTTCGCAACTTTTTTTTGCAAATTGGGTTAATTTTGGAGAAAAAGTGAAAAAAAAGTTTTATACAATTTTAACAAAATTAAAATAGTGCAATTTATTTTGCAAAACTCAGACTCAAAATTTTAACCTAAAATTGGTAGATTTAAGCCCTTTAGATCAATTAAAAATAATGCCACAAGTACCTGGTCAACAAATTAGACCAAATTTCAAGTAGTTTTAGAAAAATATACTTTCAAAATTTTTGCGCAAAACGGTTGAAAAATGTCTGCAAACTTAGAATGAATTAAAATGAAATTGAAAATAAAACTAGTTTGAAATAGTGTGGAAATTGGAGAGTAAATAAACCAGCCGAAGCTTGAACCAACCGAAAATGCGCGGAGTATATACACCAGCCAAGAATTTGAATCATATGAATGAATTTGCATAACTGTTGTAACTTTTACATGATTGCTACATAACTATTTCATAACACTTACGTATTCTCGGCTCGTTGATACTTCGGCTGGTCTGTATACTACCACAAATTCACTTTCATGAAAAAAGGATGAAAGATTTTTTCGGCCGTTTAACTTAAATCAGCAATGTAACTCGTTTAAAGCGTGTTGTTTGCTCAATAAACGTTTTGGTGAGTTTGCTTCGAACCGCCAAAAATATTTCGAAATTTTTTTGCGGCCTGTAACAAAAAATAGCCTGCAGACAACAAAAGATGAAAAACGCATATGCATATAATTTATCGTTCATTGAGAAAAAATCAGGCAGAAACGTATTTCAAAACTGAAGTCTGTTTCAAAGTGTTTGTATACAACAGGTAAGACAAGTAACAATTTTTCAATTTAAACCCAATATTTCCGATGTTCTAAAATGGTAGTTTTAAAATGGTAGCTATAACTATTATATTTTTCCAGATGCGATATTTGAAGGTGGCATGTTAATAAAGGAAACAAATAAAAATTGGGCCAAGTTTTTTACTTATCTTTTAGAGCGGTGGCCTGTTACACTTCATGTCACGCAAAAGGGTACGTCCAAAACTCCATTTGTTCAACTCATTAGGTTGAGTTAAAACTAAAAAAATTTTGAAGAGGGCGGCCGATTTTTAAATGCATTTAGACATTTTTGGAAGGTTTCGCTAACAACATTGAAAAATTACGTCTTTTCGGCGGTGCTCCTGAAAAACAGAGTCGACAGGCATAAGCGCCTTTAGGAAAAACGTAGTTGTAGTCAGCTAAAAATGGATTTTTTAACATAGGGTTGACCGTTTCTGGGGGAAAATGCCATTTGTGTTTTTTAGAATGTTTGGACCAAAAACTGGTTTGCGTAGTGTGTTAAAAAGGGCATTTTGGTTTTAAAAGGACTTTTGTAAAATAATATCAAGCGCAAAACATTAATTTCAGTGAAGAGCAAGGCAACTCTCCGACTTGACACACCTCTGACTCGGAACCTTAATTGAATACAAACACGCTTCATACAAATAACGCTTCTTGATTTCCCGTATTTTGAATAGCATGTATACTGAACTTTTCAGTTTTCTAGCCCTAAACAACTACAAGGAGTATTTCCAAAAAAAACGTTTCCACAAAAACTTATCCAAGCAAACGTTGGAGCTATTCTGCCCAACACCTGGCGTTATCTACAAAACATATACAAAGTTTTCCAAAAAAGCAGTCTCCAAGCTAAGTCAAATAAAAAGAAGCTTAAAACGTTTTTGGCAATTGGTTTTAAGCTTTCTCATTTATCAGTGTAATCTTTGATTAACATTTGAACTCTGTGAATTCTCTCTCCCAATGATAAAACTTTTGTTGGCTGCAGTCATCAAATTTTCGAAGATATAACATTGACAAAAAGCACTCACAGAGTGTTTTTTGAAGTGTCGGTTTTGACAGTGATTCTTGATCGAACTTAAATGATCAAATGCAATATGGTAGAAAACAAACAACCAAACAATTTTTTTTTCTGGATGAAATTGTTGAAATACAGCTTTTATGAAAAATTCCTTATATTTTGTATACAACTTCAAATTTTACAGCAGATACAGTCAATTGTATAAATGAAAAATAGCTGAAATTAAATATCCGAACCTGAAAATTGATCAAGCTGAAAAATTGTATATTGTAGCGCTACATACTCGTTTTGGTAAAAGACTTTTGTAAGCAGCAAAATTAAAATTAAATCCGTGAGATGAGAAGAAAAAGATATCAGACAGACCTTTAGAAACCTTGGAAGGTCTGGCAATAGCAGAATTTTTCCTTTATGTTTAAATAATTGCTCACCAGATATAAAAACTCTTTTTTATCCGCACCTAAGTAATTTTGAAGCCTTAAAAATTGTAAGAAATGTAGGATCAACATTACAATCTCCCCCCTAATTGACCTACCATGCAATTCTCTCCCCAAGCATGAAAGAAAGCATGTATGATTTCTGAAAATTAACTTTTTATTGAAATATGCCTTTCATATAAAAGCACGAATAAAAATGGTTTTTGCATTTTTAAAGCGGACTTGCATTTGTTTTAATTTTTTTAAAATGATACCGTCATTTTGAACGAATCTAGGCTAAACTCAAAGTTACTTTATGAAAAACTCATATTTCCCCCTAAATTGATTTTGGGGGATTGTACGGTTAATCCGAAATGTGTTTGCATCCCTTTTAGTTTTTAAAGGTTCAATACTACTCAGAAACTCTAAGAACGAGCTTCTAATTTGCCAAAGCCTATTCCAGGTTGTACATGGTTTCTATAGGTCTGTCTAACATCTTTGCCGTGTCAAGATCTTGAGTTTCATTTTTTTTTCCTGCCAAGTTCTTTCCACAAAGCGAATGTGAAAGACTAAAATATTCCATTTGTCAGCTTGCTCTATTTGTTTCAGATATTCGTTTTCAGCTACTCAATATTTTACATTGAGATTTAAATTAAACTAAAATTGAAATTTGAAGTTTTGTACAAAACGGAAGGAACGTTTTCCAAAAAATCTGTCTTCCAACTGAATTAACCAAAAATGAGGCTTAGAAAAGCTTTTAAAAAAATTATTTGAAACAATCGAAAAATCATACTGATCCGCCGTTTGAACGCTATCAGATTTCTATTCATTCCTTATAATTTGGTCACTTTTTAGGTAAGTGGAAATTTCTACGAAATCATGTCAAACAACCAGGTAAAACATTGTTTCTTTAAAGTTTAAGTTACAAACATTTGTGAAAGTGGAAAACAGCTATGGCTTAAGGTAGCTTTTATCGGTCGTTTTACATGCCTCAAATACTCTCACAGGAAATCATCAATTTTCGTTTCCAGAAAGACTGATTAAAATACTTTGGTTCTCCAAAATTTTTACGGCAGGGCATTTTCGGTAGTTTCACTAACTGACTCATTTTTAAATTGACAAATGCCTGACAAAACTTCAGCTTTTTATGGCCAATTTTTAAAGCTGTCTGATTTCTACAAGGTCTCAAAAAATCCTTAAAAAAACAAATTTAAATAAAATTATGATTTCTTAGAAGGTTTTTATCTATTTTTCCACTTTCTTTCATCGATTATTGTAGTCATAGCTTTTTGAGTTACAAAAACAGCAACCGCCCGGCGCACAGATAAGGCAACCACCGACAATTTATTCAGATTCAAATACATTCAGTTCAGCCAAAAAATCTCAGACAAATCAGTCAAAAATTAAAGGGCACAATGTTTTATTGTTATGCAACAATTAGTATGACATGTTTATATTAAAGGTACAAAATTGGTCATAAAGGTACCGGTAATTGGTCTTGCTGTAGTTCTTCGCATTTTCCACGAGTTTCTCGTTGACAATTAAATATTCGAGTATTACATGTCGAATAATGTAACTGACCATCAGTCTCTCTATTTTGATCTCGGGTATTTTTAGTCTGCATTAAAACGTGTTATGAGCTTGGATAGAGATGGTTACTGTGTCGACACGAACTTATTGAAGCTTTCATTCCATGCCTCCATTGCTCTATTTGTGCGAGATTCACTACTGAGCTCGTTCCAATTAATAACGTTCCAATCCGCAATGTCGATTTTCGCTTTGATGCGTCTGCTTCCTCGACAGGCACCAATACCAGACAATCTTTCAACACTTCAGCTAAAAAAAAAATTGACCTTAAAAAATTTTAATTTCGGCTCTATTTTTATGGTTTTGATCAATATTTGAAAATTGTATAAGTTTTTGTCGAGTTTGATTTTTTATTCTACGGCTACTATGAGTTACTGTTGGTTTTATTAAAATGAATTGTTTTATGTGCATTTGAAAAAAAAATCTCATAAGCCGTCTAATTTTTTGAAGCATCTAAAGGCTTTGATGTTTTGCCGCAATTTTTGCTCGCCCGTTTAAAAACGTTGAATTTGTCCAAAAAATCTGACCAAATTGTTTCACTGATTTTGGCTGATTTGTCTTAATTTGAAAATAGTTGAACTGTCTGTGACCGAATACGCAACCGCCCATGTTAACCACTCGACTAACTTTTTTAAATAAAAGTTAAACGCCGTTTTTGAGAAAAAAGGATAAACTGAATGTTACATACACAATTCAAAAACAGAGTAACATACATTTTATTCATTGTATTTTGATTATATTTCCAAATGGGAGCTTATTTCTAGTTCTGACTTTTAGGCAAACGTGAAACCTGGTAGCTTAGTTGGTAAACGCGTAAGTATAGAAGAACAAATATATCATCAAATGTATTTTTCAGATTAAGAGAAAACTGAAAAAGATTTGAAAACAGGGTTTTGGGAAATTTCTGATCAAATAATTGCATGTTAGGTTTGTTGAGGGTTTCTGTTTCGGAAATAATCTGTTAATTGAGTGCATATTAATTGTTTAGCGTGAATGAATCATCTTTCCTTGCTAGTTATAAAACATACGTAGAAAAAAAGAAAAAAATTAAATAACCGTTGACTTAATAAATAAAGTAGGAAATGAACAGGTATGTTGTTTGCAGGACGCTGAAGTTGTTCCGTCGTCTACCGGAATCAGCCAGGGAGAGCTAGCCAAAATAATCGAGTCAGGGGCTAAACTGGCAACTGACGCCGTGCCAGATCATCAGGCACTCATGCCGTCTACAGGATCCACTGGTACGTCCCACTCATTATGCTAATCAGATCAGGTGGGGTGGGGGGGGGGGTAGACTCAGAGAGGTTGAGGGGGGGGGGGGGGGGTAGACTCAGAGAGGTTGAGGGGGGGGGGACGCGTATTGCTTTGTTACTATTTCAAGATATCCATTTTTGACTGACCGGCCCAAAAATTTGTCCAAAAACACTTTAGGCACTGATGTATACTTATTTTGAGGGGGGAGCGCTCGCCTAAAAAAGCGCAATTTTTTGGTCAAATTTTTCCAAAAAGTGCTTAAAAACGCCTGTTTGGCCTGTTTTTTTTTCTTAATTCCGGCGCAGAAATATGGTCAAAATATTCTCTTTATACTGACTTGGGAATGTTCACTCACAAAATCAATTTAGTCGACCTTGTCATACCGCTACTGCAGTAGCAGTATTTATTATACGTATGTACAGCCAACCTCTGGTGTTAAATCATTATTTTATGGTACGCTCAAGGTCATACATAAGTGATGACACTGAGACTAAGTGAGAGATCAGAGTACTTAACAATGATCTATCTCTCAGTACATAAGAAAACAAAGAAAAGAGAAAATCTAAATTCAATATTCAGAATACAGTATTGAATTCCAACTTGTTTTCAATTCGATATCGCAACGCATATCACATGGCGCAGCCAGCAGGATTCGCAGCTCAAGACAACAGAACGGATATGGGAATCCCGGTATTTTGGGCATCAGCGAATCTAGACCCTCCGTAGCAATTTAAAATCTGGTTCGAACAATTTCTCATGGCGGTTACGGTCAAAGAAAATGTGAACCCAGAGATTATTTTGGAAGAACCAAAAGACATATTAGAGGAACCACCACCACGCCCGGAAACGCCCAGGGATGGGGAGAACGAAGATGCGAGGAACGCCAGAATTCTTAGAGATAAACTAGCTAGAGACAGAGTAGCATTGGAGAACGAAGAGAAAAGAACAAGAGGCCCACGAGTCGGACACAATGTCTTCTACAACGAAGTACAAAAGAAATTGGTGTCACGACTATTTCTATCTTTGGGCACTGAGGGAAAGAAAAGATTCCTACAAAAGAATCCGCACGCAGAAATATCGAAAATGACGTTCAGAGAAGTAACAGAGTTGGCAGAAGTCTCGTTTCAAAAAGTGAAATGTGTAACATACGAGAGATACAAGTTATTTACGAGAATGCAAGAACCTGGAGAATCTCTGGAATCATTCCACGCAGCGTTAACTGCTCAAGCAGCCCGATCAGAACTAGGAACATTGGAAAATGAAATAGTGCGAGACTTGTTCATCTCGAAGATGAAGAACATGACATTACAGGACACGTTGACATTCGAAACCCTGGATCCAGAGGAAGTTCTAAAAAGGGCTATAAAATTCGAACATAGCAAGTTAACCACAATGGCATTTCAAAAGACTAATGCTGCGGCGGCAGGAGGATCAAGTAGCAATTACACATCGGGTGTAAGAATAAAACAGGAACCTGTAATGGCAGTTCGAAATTTGGGGGGGAAAACCAAAACTCCAAATAGAAGAGAAAATAATAACAGACAGAATAATAACAAAAATCAAAACACGAAAACAAAACCATGTAATAGATGTGGAAGGACGTTTGAACAATGACACCTAAAAAATTGTCCAGCGATGGGAAAGGACTGTAAAAACTGTGGTAAACCAAATCATTTCGCTAAAATGTGCAGATCACAACAAGTAAGTGAAGTTGCGGAAGATTCGGAAGAATCGATAGTGGAATGCGACCAGATCAGTGAAGGTGTTGGGTCTTGTAGTGAATTTGAAGTCATGTTGATACAAACTCAACAACCGGAAAATGAACGAGTTTCAAAATATGTGAAAGATCGAATAAATGATATGAGAAAAGAAACAAACGGCAAAGTGGTTAGAGTTCAGAAAATAGACTCTATTCGAGATCCAACATTGAACCGCGTAAAGTCACTAAAGGCTATGGTACGAATAGATAACCAGATTATTCAGCTAACAGTGGATACTGGTAGCCCTGTTTCATTTCTTAACTGGGCAACGACGAAAGAAATCATGGAAAAATCAAATAAAGTGAGATTCATACCGTCTGACAAATTGAACTTACAAACAAAATTTGTGGACTACAACAAACAACCGATCAGTATCCTGGGAGCCCTAAAAACCAATCTGAGGTCAGCGGGCTGGGAAGTTAAGGGCGCAACCTTTCTGGTATCAGAGCGAAAAACTAGATGCATCATGGGATTAGACTTGCAAGGACAAGTGGGAATAGTGACTACACAAAGAACAGCGCCAAAAGAACTCACCAGGTTTGACGTGCTCATGTGCGAGCAGTCGGAAGGTTGGAAAGAAATATTTTTAAATAAATTTAAGAACTTATTCGAAAGGCAAGGCATTTCTAAAAACCACATCGTCAGTTCAAAATTCAAATACCCACTATGTCCGATACAAGAAAAGGGGAGAAGAATCCCAATTCATATACAAGATAAAGTCGAAAAAGAAATCGAGAAGTTATTGACAGAAGGTCATATAACAAAACTTGATAAGTGTACAAGTGATTGCTTTATCGCCCCGATTGTGATAACAGTAAAGAAGGACGACTCAATAAAATTGGCAATGGACGCGAAACCAATCAATAGACAATTGTTCAAAAACAAATACCAAATGCCAAATGTAGATGAACTTATTGATGGGGTAAGCCAGATTGTAACTGAAAACAAAAAGGGTACGCTATATTTTTCGGTGTTAGATTTGAAATATGCGTACAGTCAACTAAAATTAGCTGCGGATACAGCTAGGCAATGCAACTTTAACATTGTGGGCGGAAAAGCAACCGGAACTTACAGATTCTTGACAGGACTCTACGGACTAGCAGATATGCCAGCTGAATTTCAAAAGGCTATGGATAGAACCATCAATCACGCTAAAAACACGTTCTGTTTTCTGGATGACATACTTATTGTGTCAAAGGGAAGTGAAATCGAACATGCCAATCTAGTGGAAGCAGTATTAAAGAAATTGGATGCGGAAAACTTGGCACTGAAACTATCAAAATGTGAATTTTTCAAACAAGAAGTGAATTGGTTGGGTCATCATCTCTCAGAAGAAGGGGTTAGACCGAAGATCACTAAAACGGAAGCGGTAGTAAACTTGAACCCGCCCAAATGACAACTAAGGTCATTTCTAGGAAGTATAAATCATTTAGCTAAATTTATACCTAACGTAGCAAGTCTGACAGAAAAATTAAGACCACTTCTTAAAGAAGAAAATCAAAAGAAAAAGTTAAAAAACATGAAACTACCGGTGAAAAAATTCGAGTGGGGGGATGTTCACACAGAAGCATTTAATGCTATAAAAGGAGCTGTGGCGAATATTACGAAAGTGCATTATTACGATGCAAATCGTGAAACACGAGTTAAATGCGATGCTAGCCATGATGGACTAGGGTCCACTTTAGAACAACAAAATGATGAAGGGTTGTGGGTCTCAATTTCGTTCGCATCCCGATACCTAAATGCGCAAGAAAAAAAATATTCAACAAATGAGTTGGAATTATTGGCAGTTGTTTGGGCAGTAGATAGATATAAACACTACCTTCTGGGGAAACCATTTACCATCGCAACTGACCATAAAGCGCTTACAACAGCACTGGATGTTAATCAATCGAACAAGACCTACCAATCACGCCTAACCCGGTGGGTTGACCGGTTACTGCCGTATCAGTTCAACATAGTTCACATTCCGGGGAGGGACATGGGCATAGTTGATTATTTATCGCGTGATCCTTTCAATGATCCCTGGCCCGAATCAGAATTAGACGAAAAGTTTGTAGTAGCAACAATAAACTCTTTTCATGAAGCGTTCGACTGCTGGAACAGTAGGCTTAAAGATTCAAGGTCGCTCAACCGGAACGAAAACGTTCTAGAATGTTCTAGAAGGAATGTTAGGAAACAGTCATCAAGTAATGGTTGCTATAGCAACCAAAACGGTCAAAACCGAACAAAGCTCGACCGGAACGAGAGAAAACAGTTTCCACGACTCCAAAAACAGCTGAACACAACAGTTCAACAGAAACAAATCACTCTTTTGTCAAATCAACCCAGCAAACAGTCAGTCTTAAATAATTGCAAAACGAAAAAACGACCAGTACCGAAAAAAAATAGAAAAAACAGACTCAAGAATCGAGATGTCAGAAAATGCAAACAGAACATACGACTGGTGGTCCAGCCCACCACAAGATTGGCGGAACGAGGAGCGTGAAGAAAGCCTAATGGACCCAAATGGGAACCGATCATTTTCCACCAATAACGAACTCTCGGGAGAGGAGGAGATCACAGAGACAGTACAACGTACGAGAAAAATTATACGAGGAGGCAGAAAAAATAGGGACAGCTCAGACAGCGAAACACGTCAAGCACAACGAGTAAAATGGTCACTGGAACCGGAACAACAACGAATAGCGGACCAAAGACTGCTCTCATTCTGGCAGCTAATAGGCGGAGAAAACAATGTTCAGGAAAATCGAGAACTGGTGGCCGATACTCAAGAAGTCAGGGACAATTTGGAAGACGAATCAAGTCCAACATCGTCAAAACCGATCGCATCGACAGAACGAAAACTCAGTGAGGTGAATGTATTAGAAGTCGACCTTACAACCACAGAAGAGGCGGAGAGTGAGGAGGAAGTATGCTCAATTCAACCGCCAAAGGGTCTAGGAAAATCAAGACTGCAAAAGCAGCAACAAGTAGAGATTCTGGACAACCTCGCAAAACTGTTCGACAAAAACTTACTAGCAGAACTGACCACAGAAGACACGTGGATGGACCGCCTCAGGAGAGTGGTAGAGAGAAGGGACAAACAAGGATTCGAATTGATGGGACCCTATACAAATCCGTTGTGGTCGCAGATGGCAGTTCAGGACGACTGCATCTTAGTCAATAATCGGCTAGCGGTACCAGTTCAACTACGACAAGCTGTCCTCAAACGAATACATCGGGGACACCCAGGACAGGAAGCGATGTTGGGAGCAGCGCAATATCTGTGGTGGCCACACATGAATAAGGACATCGTGAATTTGGCAGAGGAGTGCCGTAGTTGTACCAGATATGGTAAGAATGTTAAATACCTTATTTCGAAAAATTCGTCAAAACCACTGCCACTGCTCACGCAGCCGGGACAGGAGGTACAACTAGACTACGCGGGGCCTATAGAAAATCAGAAAGGAAAAAAAATCTATCTTTTAGTAGCTATTGATCGATTCTCAAAATTTCCATCAGTGAAGGTTACAAAATCCACAAGTGGAAAGAGCACAGCAAAATTCTTGAGATCATATATCGACACACATGGAGTCCCTGAATCAATTCGCTCGGATCAATTTTCAGGCTTTAAGGGAAAAACTCTAAAAAAATTTTGTTCGGAACTTAATATCGAACAAAAATTCTGTCCGGTGGGGGATCACAGAGGTTGTGGGTTGGTTGAACGTACAATTCAAACAATAAAAAGAAGACTGGGAGTGATGATGCTCGATGAAAATAATAAATCAATCAAATTATGTCTCAGTATTATAATGCGAGATTTACGATGGAACAAGCAGAAAACAATTCAAGTATCCCCGTTCCAAGCACATTTCGGCAGACTACCAAAAACAGAATTTAAAATTGTGAGGGATAGGTTTTTAAATAATTCTGATTCTTTAGACAAACAACACTTGGAACGCTCAGCACTGACTGCGTCTCAAATGAAACGGAGGATTGATCAGTCGAGAGAGAATCTCAAGATAGTGCGCAAGGGACAACTGAGCAGGGATACAAGCCCACTGCACAAGCAGCAGATAACATCGGACAGAGACAAAGAAAGAGCCAAAGCCCTAAAGGAATTGTTGGAGGCAAATGCCCGATGGAACTACGAAAGAAGGGATGCAGCTAAAAATGACATCAGGAAATTAGTGGACGAGACAGGTCAACTCAATCCCGATCTTCGAAAAGAAATGATTTACTCTTGGGAAAAAGGATTCGTGGAAGATAAAGTAGAAAACCAATGCAAGTCACCACCCAAGACAATACTTAGAAAGGACCCTCTAAGGAAAAGCGGACAAGCCCTAACCAGACCATTAAAGGGGAAAATAGCTTCAGAAACGGAATCAACAATTAAGACATCGGCCGGTTCGATCTATAGAAAATCGGACATAGCTCAATCAAAAACCGTACTTACACAAGAAAAACAGAGAAGCACAAGTAAAAGTCCATCGTCGGAACCTACAAGAAAGTTCAAGCGAGTCAGTTCTCCAGAACTACTAGAGGAACTGGAATCGGAGGATGAACTCCAAGGAGAAATGGAAATTGCAAATGAAATGAACCCAACAGAGCGCTTTCAGAAGAGCCAAACAATAGTCACTTCTAAGGACACAGAAGCCGGGGGAGGACTGAATCTTGCAATAAAAAGAGCTAAACCAAACCTGGCGGGACCAAAATCAGCAGAGGAAACAAACACGAATAAGCCGGAAAAGAGCGGAAAAGAGAAGAAAAGCCGAAGCAAGCAACAACAGGGAACCAACGCAAACCAAACTGCGACTGCAGTCAACTCGGAACAAGAGCAAGCAATATCTAAGCCGGATTCGGTCACAGCAGATACCAAAATCCAGTCGAGCTCTACGCCGAAAATCAAACAGCGTCCGAAACTGAAGGGCATTGACGCGCACACCCCTTTGGAAGATATAGTGGAGACGTTTCACAATAGAAATTTGGCACCGTCTGACTGGGAGAAGTACGCGGACCAACTGTTAAAAAGAGGGGTGCAGCGAGTTGCGGATGAACTTAGAGAAAATCCTCAAAAAGGCTCAGAATTGGATACAAACTTCGAACCACCACAAGGATTCTCGGACGAATCAAGTGCGGAAGAGTCAGGTGTTCGACGAAGTTCTAGACAAACAAAGAACAAAGAACCCAAACGATTCGGAGATCCGATAAAACATTCAATAAAAGAAATATCCGAAAATCTTACAGGAAGAGGTCTTTTAAAGGAGGCACTTAAAGAATACAGAAACCAACTGAGAGATTTCAAAGATCGGGACGATAGACCCTTGGAGTCAAAAGTGCGACGACTCGAAAGACATTTATTTATGCGAAAATTCGGATATGCTACTTTAGATGAAGGAGTAGATTGGAACCCGAGTTGGGAAATTGAGCTGGAGGAAAACTGAAATTTACATAATCCATCTAAAAGACTTTCTTCAGAACTGAGTAAATTGAACTCTTTTAAATAAATTATCCTACTGATGTTGTATAATTTATTTCTTTCACCGAGGGGGGTGTGTCATACCGCTACTGCAGTAGCAGTATTTATTATACGTATGTACAGCCAACCTCTGGTGTTAAATCATTATTTTATGGTACGCTCAAGGTCATACATAAGTGATGACACTGAGACTAAGTGAGAGATCAGAGTACTTAACAATGATCTATCTCTCAGTACATAAGAAAACAAAGAAAAGAGAAAATCTAAATTCAATATTCAGAATACAGTATTGAATTCCAACTTGTTTTCAATTCGATATCGCAACGCATATCACAGACCTAAAAAAGGGTCGACAAAAGTTTCGAAAATTTTTTGAAAACCCCTTCCCCCCACAAGAAAAACTTTGATTCGCCCCCCGATGCTAATAGTTTCAATATATGACCTAAATCCGTTATGCCGAAAAAATTTAGTCTCTTATTCGTGTACGAAATCTAATAGTTTTTCTAAGAGAAATCTAATAGAAATCTAATCAGCGTAGTCATTAACTAATAGAATATTGTTCTTAAAAATATGGTTCATCTGAAATTGATGGCAACAGTTTGTCATCATAACTAAAAGTTAAATATTAGTTAATGACAAATTGTCGCAATCAGTTTGTCAGTAACTTTAGTTTTACGCAAAACTGTGAAACTAAAACGCAAAATGGCCGAAAAAATCTTGTTGCGGGTTTTAGCTAGCCTCTACACGATTCTGGAAGGGGTGAATGACTTGATTGCGAGATTGGATCAAATTTCAACTTGAAGATGCAACAAACACCTATTGTCTCACCAACTGCAATCGACTCAGTTGAAAAATAACATCAAAAAGCGGTGACTTGCTTCTTGATGTGTACATGAAGAATGAATAAATTGTATTATCAAATTAAGGGACTTATTTCAAATCTGGGATTATAATTAAATATCGCTTGATTTAATTAAAGGATTGCACATATTTTTTTATATTTTGAAGCAAAACATATACTCTATTGCTTTTCTCGCGCCACTAATTGCTTAAAAATTTTTGGTTCTCAGCTGTTTAAAAAAACGGTGAACTTATTGATCTGACGGATCTACTTAAAAATCTCCCCCTATTGTATCGGCTAAAGAATCTCGACCCCTGTAAAAAAAAACAGTAAATTCGCACTAGAGTGTTGTTTGTAATATCGAGTTTTGCTGCATTCTGATCGGTCGAAAATTCGCTGCAAGTAATCTACTTAACAATCTCCCCCCACCTTTCTTGAAAAGGGGGGGGGAGATTGTTAAGTAGATCCGATCTGACTTTCGAAGCTAGTAGTGAAGTTATTCTTGAATTATTATTTTTTGATTAATTAGATCAATTTAATTTGCCCTCAAAGTTGATTTATGAACAACCAGTATTTCACCCCCCTAAATAAATAAGGGGGGAGGGGTTTGTACATCCGAGTCACATTAATTTGGAATTTTTTATAGACCGAGTTTACCTTTTTAAATATATCATATAAAAGTCATTGATGCTCTTAGCTAAAATTTGAAAAGAAAATCAAATATAAATGAGGTATTGAAAATCGCCCAATCGGTCCATTTGGGAAAATAAATCCGCGTAGTTGTTCCGACCATTTAAAAATGGGGACAATTTTTGTATTTGAATGTTTTAGTTTTTTCTTTTTTTCTTTTTTCTCCACACAAAATCAGCTACCACAAATAATCATTGGAGAGAGTTGGTTGATATATCATATTAAAGCCCTTGCATTCGTGATTCAAACGACATTTAAAAAACTCAAAATAATCCAGTGTCGTGAAAAACCGCTTTGAATTTTTCGATTTTTCGTCTTAATTCAAGCGAATAAAGCGAGCGAGCAGGCATACAATAGCTTAATTCAATGCGTAATAACTTAGCTTTACTCGAGTAACGTTAGATTTTTTGAAGTAATTTAGCGCCTTTTTTGAAACAAAAACATCAGAAAGCAAAAACTACAAAAAAATTTGAAAACAATTAATTTTTTTTGATTTTTTTTTTCGTTTTTCTAGACATTTTTCTTGAAAAATAGTTTTTCAATTTGTTTATTTTACTTTGACTCTCAGATATGCCGAAAATTTTCAAGCTTATTTATTTAGCAACGACAAAAAAAAAACGCGAATTTGAAAAAAATATATAAGAATTTAGTCTGCTGAACGTTCAGTGCTACTTGCACAGTAGCCGGCTATCCCTACTTTTCTGAAATTTTGTTTAAACGCAGAAAAAAATACTGCTACCTAATCCGGCTCGAAAAAAAGTCCTTGTTCATTCAGGGTATGGCTTTTTCACAATAATGCGCTAATAGATCTGAAATATATCGTTTTGCAAATTTAACTTACCTGCGAGGAAAATTTTTGAAAATAGTAAACGATCTATATTTTTTGAAAACAATCAGTAATTTCGAAGCAAATTGTTCTTGAAGCACCTGAAAATACACTAGAGACTTCAAGAATTTGCCCTGGTATGACCATTTAAATTATCATAGGATATCAAGCGTGGCATCTTGTTAAAGCCCTAACAGCCATTATTTGCAGCCTAAAAATGTATCGAAATTAGTCTCCATGTTGAACAATGCGTAACTTCAAGACAGATTTTCGAAAGGTTTTAATTTTCCCAGTTATACAAAAATGGCTTCTACACAAAACCACAATTGAACCTATGATAATTTCGTCAGGTTTTTCAAAATTAGTTGATATCAACGAATCCTGCGCCATTTGTTTTTCAAATTCAAAGTGGTCCGAGCAATATCATCAAACAGTTCCTCAGCAAAAACTTTCGAAAATCAATTTTCTGCTGACATTTATTTAAATTTTTTTCAGGCTATTTTTTAATATCACAGAAAAACTGCATGAAGCTTCGAAAAGTGGTTTGTCCGGATCAATGAAATACATTCATTCAAACAAAAGATTTAATTGTAACCATCAGAATTACTTGTTCATTTCACTTGCTCAAAAAAGCACACTGCATATTAGCTATTCTTTGACACTGCAAACAACTTATGGAAGTTTTTGAGATCGAAGTATATATATCTCAATTGAAAATATTTTTTCATGATAAAGCAATTAACACACTCCGAGGATTATTTAAGGCACTTGGTTTTGCATGCAAAGAAGTATGAAAAACTAAAACTACTGGAAACAGTTAATAAACCCTTGCGGTTATCGGTGGATTCGTTATTTTAGATTGAGTTTTGGTAAACAATTTGATCAATTTTTTTCCAATAAAAACGTTGTTTAACATTTTGGGTTGCGCTATTTAATAATGTTGTTCCGACAAATTACAGAAATGGGAAAAACTATGGCACAGGATCTGTGGGTTTTATCTAATATTAAAAAACTTAAAAAATTATCATAAGCTATCAAGCGTAGTATCGTGTAAAAACCTGAACAGTCATAGTTTGCAGATTGAAAAACCTATCGAAAATTTTCTCAATGTTTAAAAAAGCTTAACTTGCTTTTTAACATTTTAAACATCATCACATTTAAATCTCTGGTCAAATCTTTCAATTTAGTCTGAAAACAAGCATGTCTCAACACTTAGAAAAATTGTTCAATTTTTTAGAAAGCAAATAACAGCTTCTGCCAACGTCGAGACACTTTTTTCAAAAACTTTTGAGTTCCAATTTTATGAATAATGGGCCTTCTACACAATTTGACTTATTAAAAATTTGTCACGTTTTCAAAATTAGCTAAAAACAGCGAATCCTTCGCCAATTTTTTTTTCATTTCGGGAAGTTGTGGCAACGATATGGCAACTTATTTTGTTTTTATTGGTTTTAGGGACCTTCTCTTGGTTGTGCTCACTTTTTCAAAAATTGACTGATCTATTGTGAAAATCTTAAAAAATTTTTGTTCAAAATAACTTATATCTCTTTTTTCAAGGTCAAAGTTTTTTTGCGAAGTATACGTTATAAAGTACCAAAAGTTTTTTAAACCGAAACAAAGGTTGAAGGATTTCTACAATTACTTTTTTTTCTGATCTATATATATATATATATATATATATATATATATATATATATATATATATATATTCTGCGTGATTGACTTCTGAAGGATCAATCATAATTTTTCCAAACTGGTTCGAAATATAAGTTCATTTTCTATTTAGAAACTGAATCGACAAATTTTCTAATTAAGCCAAATATTTAAAAATGATATACAAAAATAACTATTTCTAGTTTTTGTAGCTTAGAATTGGTTTCAATACAATGTTATACAGAATCAAAAAAGAGTATGTACAGATTTGTACACGTTTTAATTCGGAAAAATAAATGAGTTGAACAAAACTTAACTTCGTTTTGGCATGAAACACAGCATCAGCTAAATTTATCAATGTTTCAGCGCTGAGAACCACAAAATTTGTCAGACAAAAACCAGCTGCGTTTAATCAATGACAAGACTTGTTGGCACATTCTGTTCATTCTCATTTTTACAGTTTCTGTGAAATTGGTTTGTCTGATGAAACTAATTATTCTCTTTCATGCTGTGGGAGCCTACATAGGTCTCTAAGTTTTTTGGAGATTTCCTTTAAATCAAAGTATTATGGTACAAGTATCACTTCGAGTTAGTGTAGCTGAATGCATAATGCTGATGGAAGTGTTGTCTTCAGCAGAACCTTTTCGAAAAACCATTGAGAATTCAAATTTTTCATCACTAAAACTTGCTTTTCGGGTACAGAGTTTGGAAGTTTATTTCTCTACCTTTTATGCATCAGCAATGATTTTTGCTACTTGATTAAAAAATGCAGCTTTTAATCGTTGAGAGTGATCGCTGTTTTTTCAATTTTTTAATGCTAATTTTTAGTCTTGACTCAAAACAGGGTTGTAGTGAGGCAAAAAAATGGCGAATGGGCATTTCAGGACTCAACAATTGAGTCCCAAAAGGACTTCGTGATTTTTTACTGTGGGACACGAGAGAAGGCGCAAACCTATTCAAAATTAAACTTTGCCAGGAGAAGAGCACTAAACGTTTTTACTGAAACCATTGAAACAAAAGGAATTGCTATTGAAAAAATGATAGAGTTGCGAAAACGATCTCAAGGAACGGTCGGTAAATTCTTTCTCAATTGGAACGTTTCATGGTTTTTTTGCTTATCACTTGTTTAAATTCTCAATACTTTGAAGTTTTCGAATCGGCAATTAAAGACCAAAAACTTAAACTCCAAACCAACAGTATTGAAAACAAAAGTAGCTATCCTTTCCGTAAGGAAACCTTTCTTAAAACGTTATCCCTCCTGGAAGATAAATAATGAAACTATTTCTTTTATATTTTTCGGACTAATTGAAAGCTTATGAAAAAAAAATATTTTAAAGAGAGATTTCAGCATTTTTTTTTTGCTTAGCACTTGGGAAACCTTTGAAGACCTTATTTACATTTCCTCTGAGCGTCTCACACGGTTTCGTGCCAAAAGATCTCCAAAAAAGGAGATTTTTAGAGGGTTGTACGAAAAGTAAAATTGAAAATTTGATATTGTACAAAACGAAAAAATAAACGATAAAAAGCTCAAGAACGAGGTAGTTTGACTCACCTAAGAATCACTATGTGTTATTTGACACAATGTAGTTTTTCAAAGATTATCTAGCTTATAGTTTTTCAGCTTTTTGAAATAAAACATGCCCCTATAGTTGACCGGGGATGGGTACAAGTGTGTTATATCCAACATTCATAGTCAAATTTGCTTATGATGACAAAAAAGATATTGTTTCTATAAATATTAAGAACTTAAGAAACTTAAACACATTTCCAAGACTGAGTTTCTTCATTTTCAGCACAGAAAATAATCATGGATTTTTTGATGCTTTAAAATTATCATATGTGAAGTGACAAGTTTGCAATAATTTTAATCGTTAGAGAAAAAAACAAACTGAGAAAACGTACTATTGCGAAGTGGTTTTGAAAATTTGTTGTGTTTTATAAATTTTTCGAATTAAAAACTTTTTTGTGGACCCTTTGATA